GGGGGGGGGGGGGGCTGGACTTGGAAGGACTTCTTCGCCAGGATGAAACACGCACACACACGTCAGATGTACAGACTATGCAAGCCCCTGAGTCGAGTGCCGTGCAGAACCCGCGTATCACCGAGTGATATACCGACGTCTTGCTGACCAGTGTTTTCATCCTGACAAGGAAACACCAAACAGAGACACCGCTCTCTCTGCCCGTCCGGTTGTGTGTTTGGCCGCTTGCAATTACGCGAATGCAGGACTGAGGGCTTTCCGAATGCCGTGCCAGTTCTCTCCTGTCGTCTTGCGCGTGACTACAGCAGCAGCAGAGGGAAGGACAGGGAGACAAAGATGAGGTCACTGGCGCATCGCATGTATGCGCTTGTGGGCGTGGTGTGGCTGCACACCAATGCTCACGGTCGACCTCAAGGCCCCCTCCGCAAACAGATCAACCGAATGATACTTGTCGCTCTTCTCGAGGCCATCAGGACCGATCAGCGTTTCCCAGCTCGAGATGTCTGTGCAGACGTACACGCGGTGGCCGAGCGGCAGCTGCACGTAGTATAAGTCGCTGCCGAGCTCGTCGCGCCACTGCTCCATGCTACAGCCATCCGCAGACAGACAGACAGAGAGATGACTCCATATGGAGGTGAGTGCTCTCTGTGGTTGCGTGTTATACAGCTAAATGCGCTGCTTACAGGTGAGGCAGCTTCTTAGAGCCGAGGCATTGCACGCCCTCGATGACAGACATCTGGACACGGGGCGGGTCAGTCAAGCCCTCCCTCTCCTCCGCCGAGATGTGACGCGCATCCCGTCGGCCACCATCCTTGCCATCCTTGTCACTCTTGGATGACGCACCATTGGCGGCATGTTTGCGCCTCAGTCGGATGATCTCTTCGAGGCCGACGAGGCAGACGACGCCGGCAGAGAGGGCGGCGACGAGAGGCAGCACGGACGAAGCAGACTGCTCGAGATTGGTCGCTGTTGACGGCATCACCCGCTCAAGTTGACGAATGCGTTAGGGCGCGTGAAACGATTCGAGTGAGGCGACGGGAGGGAAGAAGCAAACAAAGAACGCCCCGAGGCTGCTTTGCTTCTGAGCGGGCGATATCATTGGCGATGCGATGATCTCTCAGTTTTACATATTATCACCGCGCGGCGACACCATCATCAACCGTGACTTCCGGGGCGATGTGGCGCGCGGGACTGCCGAGATCTTCTTTCGCAAGGTCAAGTTCTGGACAGGGGATGCGCCGCCGATCTTCAATCTCGACGGCATCAACTACATCTTCGTCAAGCGGAACGGGCTGTATTTTGTGGTGACGACGGCCTTCAATGTGTCGCCCTCGTACACAGTGGAGATGCTGCAGCGGATGACCAAGGTCGTCAAGGACTTCTGCGGCGTGCTGAGCGAGGAGAGCATCCGCAAGAACTTCGTCCTCGTGTACGAGCTGCTTGACGAGATGCTCGACTTCGGCTACCCGCAGCTGACGTCCACCGAGCAGCTCAAGGGGTGCATCCACAACGAGGCCATCATGACGGAGCAGCCCAGCCACCTGGGCACCATGCGGGCGGCAGGCATCGCTCTGCCGCAGCTACAGATCAACCCCAAGACGGTGCCCAGCAACGCCGTCCACCGGCCCGTGGGCCTCACGCAGGGCGACCCCTACGCCAGCAAGGGCCGCAAGAATGAGATCTTTGTCGACATCCTCGAGCGGCTCACCGTGGTGCTCAACGCCAGCGGCTACGTGCTCAACTCGTGCATCGACGGGTCCATTCAGATGAAGAGCTACCTGAGCGGCAGCCCCGAGCTCAAGCTGGCCCTCAATGAGGACATCGTGGTGGGGCGGCAGCCGGGGCAGGCGGGGAGCGGCGGGGGGCATGGCGGCTGGTACGGGGTGGTGGTGCTGGACGACTGCAACTTCCACGAGCAGGTCGACCTGCGCGACTTTGACGACCACAAGATACTCAGCTTCGTCCCACCAGACGGCGAGTTTGTCGTCATGAACTACCGCATCACCAGCGACTTCCGCGCGCCCTTCAGGATATTCCCGCAGGTGGAGCAAATCACACCTTACAAGGTGGGTGAGAGGGGGAGGGAGGTGGGGACCACAAACACACACACAAAGGGATGGATGGATGGATAGATGGATGGGCGCCTCTCTCTCTTATTGTGTGACGAATCGTGTGTCTGCCAGCTCGAGTGTGTGATCAAGATCAGAGCTGACATTCCCGAGCAGAACTACGGCGGCAACATGGTCATCAGCTGCCCCATGCCCAAACACACGGCATTCGTCACCAACGAGCTGTTCCCACAGACACCGATGCAGGTAAGTAACCATGACAGGCAGGCAGGCAGGCAGGCAGGCAGCAAACAGATACACACATAGCTGCACGCACCCATCACTTGCAGACGGACATCTACTCTGCGTGTCCTGTCCTGTCCTGCCTGCCATTGCCATGCAGAGTGCCGAGTACGTGGCGTCAGACACCAAGGTCGTGTGGAACATCAAGAAGTTCCAAGTGAGCGACCCTCACAACACATCACCACACAACTGACATCGTCCGTGTGTCATTCACTCGTGTGATGGAGGGATGTGGCTGGGCGACTTGACTGGGTGATTTGTTTGTTTGTGGCCAACAGGGCGGTGCGGAGCACACGCTGCGTTGCAAGATCACCTTGTCTCAGCCGTGTTCCGAGACGATCAAGAAGGAGATCGGCCCTGTCAGCCTCACCTTCGAAATACCCATGTACAACGTGTCCAACCTACAGGTGCGGTGCGCCGCGGTGGCCGCGGACAGGCACGCTGGCACTGTGACAGGCACTCAGACAGAGACAGACAGACCTGTGTGGGGCATGTTTGGTCGTTCTGTCAGGTTCGGTATCTGCGGATCAGCGAGCGGCACGCGGCGTACAATCCCTACCGGTGGGTGCGGTACGTCACGCAGTCGTCGTCTTACATATGCAGGCTGTGATGTGACCGACCCATGTGACCGATGTGACTGACCCATGGGAGTGACCTATGGGAGTGAGAGAGCAATGGATAGTTAGATGGACGGCTGCACAGACAGACAGACAGACAAACAGACAGTCCGTTTGGTGCTGTTTATTGCTTGGATGGATGGACCGACAATCAATACAAACATGCGATTGTGAGGGACGGGTCCCGTCGTCTCGAGGTCCAATCAAAGACGAGGGGAATCACACAGTGCCGGCCCGGTGTGGTTTGTGTTGGGCAATGTCTGCCCGTGCGAGAGCATGTGTATTTCTGTGCGGTAGATGCACTTCTACATGTAGCTGTCCTGGTACCATCACATTCCATCAATCGTGACAGCAGATGGATCGATCATGCAGTCAGTCCCCAGATGCGCCAACGAGGGTAACATATGCACACTTACGTCAACCAACCAACCCGTCTGTCTGTCTGTCTGTACACACACATGTGTATCACTCCCCATCCATCTATTCATATCCCCCCCCCGCTACACACACAAACACCGGTGCGCTCTGCAGCCAGCCAGCCGCATCGCCAACGCTGCAGACAGAGGGAAGCACCCAGACGAATGATGTGTCACGTCTCCTCAATCATGTTTCTCTGACCGTGTGGTATCTATCATGCCGTCTATGGCGTCTGGCCATCGAGAAAGACGGGCGCGATGAAGCCGAGGGACCGCCGAGCCCTGGCTGTGGTCTGCGGGTGCCTGACGGGGAAGGCGTCGTAAGGGCTGCCCACCGGCTGCTCTGTCGTCGCCAGAACGGCAGTCACTGCCACAGGACACAGAGAGAGACAAGGGGGCCGGCTTGCGCGACGCCGTTTCCTTTCCCCGTTCCCACTCCCTCCGCTCACCGGTCTGATGGTGATCAAGACGGACTCTGAATTGAACCCATGCTATAAAGGGGTCGTCGAATGCCGTCAGCAGATGAGTCTGATATGCACTTCCAACGGGCACTTCCTCGGTCGTCACGACGGCTGAGCATCCCTCCAGCGGCGTGTGGGGCGATCGCGTCAGCAACGTGTCCAGATAACCACCCCGAACACCACTACGAACACACACACACAGACGGAGAACACCCCACTTCTCCATCTCGTTCGTTCCCCCACAGCACAGTACCCACCAATCGATTTCCATCTGTATGCCGTGGATGTGGTGGACATCGATGTGCGTACAAGAGTGATAATACATGATGACGTCCACAATAAAGGTGCTCACAGACGTCTCGGCGTACTCGAGTCCGATTGCCACCCAGCCGCCTTGTCCGTGGAGAGTGTACCCGATGGCCGACCGGACGGGCGGGTCGTCGCGCTTCAGGTGCTGTTGGAAGGGGTGCTGCTGCAGGGGGTGCACGTGATCAGTGGAGAGGGGAGGATTGAGAGTGACGGCGAAGTCCGGCTCGTCGCGGATTGCCCGAATCTCGTTGGTGGTGGGGTCGCGGAACAGCTCGAAGGTGCCGTCCTGCTGACCATCACGGCGACGAAAGACGACATGGCGCCCGACAATCATCCACTGGGCTGCCACACGGGGCATCGACACGTAGGCCTAAAACACACACATACATATACACATACAGAACGATGCAGCCGATTCTCCTCCTCTTGTGTGAGGTGCTGACCGTCTTTGTGTCGTGCTTCTGCAGGTCTCTCGCATCGATGGTGATGGGCAGCTGGCAGTAGCCAGACTGCCCCGCAAACCGCAGCCCATCCCCCACCTCCCCCCAGTCGCCCCCCTCCTCCATCAGCCACAGCGCCTTCAGCGCACCGCCGTCGCCCAGCTGAGGAGCAAACCGCACCACGCCCCTCAGGCCCGCCTTGTCGGTGGCGTCGGTCAGCCGGCTGCGGAGGGCATCTCGGATGTGGCTCTTGATCAGTCGAGCAGTCGTCTTGAGGCGCCCGACGCTCGTCAGGTCTGTGGATGTCTGCAGGCGGCCCATGGCGTCAGCTGGGAGGTCCTCCAACTTGGCCTGACCGAGGCAGAGCAGCACACCAGACACGCGGTTGGCGACACACGATTGGCGAATCACTCGCGAGTATCGTGTGTTGGTTTTGCTGACCGATGCGTCAGTGCGTGGCGCAGGAAAGGTGGCCGACTTGACAAGCGCCTTCAGCGTGGCCCTCAGCTTGGCGTACTGATCCAGCGCAGCGATCATGTGGAGGGAACAGTCCTATTCCGTCACACAAACAAACGGACAGCAGCAGAGTGTGTGTTCAGGGTTTGTATGCTGCCTTTGGGCATACGTGTGATGAGAGATCTGAGGGGTCCAGTGCGGACAAGCGGTACATCAGGCAGCTGATCTGCATGAGAAACGAACCAAAAACAACGGTGAGGCTGCCGATGGATCAATTCCATGATTGCTGACCTCCGAGTGCTTCTGCTCCAGCCCAGACATCATCGTGGCCGCCTTTATCATGATATGGAGTCGGAGCACTGACCGGTCGGAGACCGGTCAGTGCTCACCTCTCCGACCGGTCAGTGCTCACCTGTACTGATGGCCATCGGAGACGAACTCAAAGGTGGTGGTTAGGATCCAAAGGCATCCTCCTTCCGAGACTCCTTCTTACCCGGAAATGAGTTTCCAACCTCTTCTAGCGCGATCCACTTGCGAGCTTGGAAATTCATTGTGAACGAAGCAAAGGCCTCTCTTGTGCCAACCTGTGGAGAGTCACCACGCAGTTCATCGTCTTTTTCTTCTCAGAGAGAGGCAGTCAAGGTTGGTTCGATGACGTCTGGGCCTGTCAAGGCCTCAGCGGGAGGGCTGCTGCCTCCGGGAGCAAGCATCTCGCCATCTAGTAGGAGGCGAAACAGTCGCCTTGCTGCGGCCTTCCTGGCGAGATTGTTCGGTTCGCCCAGCAGGAAGCTCGGGTGGGTGTCGGCGGCGGTGCTGGCATGGGCGTACTACCACTACCAACAGGGTGCGTGAGCCGACACAACACATGGCATGCAATCCAGACAGCAAACACACGAAATCAAAAACGAAACCACCCGTCGTGACTCTCTCTGTCTGTCTGTCTGTCTGTGTGTGTGTGTTCAGAGCTGAAGGCGCGTACAGAGGAGCCTCGGATTCGGTCACGGCCAAGGCGAGGCTCCAGCCGCGAGCAGGGACCGGAGGAGGCCGAGGAGGAGGACAACCGCGGCTCGTCGGGGCCATTCGACATCCATGGTCGTGGCAAAGTGGACGCCCTGTTCGTCCGCCGCCTGCTGGGCCTCGTCAAGATCGTCATCCCCGGCATCGCGTGTCGCGAGGTGCGGCTGCTGGTCCTGCTGTGCGCCTTCCTGGTGGCTCGGACCTTCATGAGCATATGGATAGCGGCTCTGAACGGCAAGATCGTCAAGGCCATCGTGCAGCGCAACCTGCGGCTGTTCATTCGGCGAATCGGCACCCTCGCGGCGTACGCCGTGCCGGCCTCGTTCATCAACAGCTACATCGACTACCTCGGCAAGGACGTGGCTCTCTGCTTCCGCGAGCGCATGTCGGAGCACTTCTGCAGCCGCTACCTGGACAAGATGGTCTTCTATCGGCTGAGCCACCTGGACGTTCGCCTGCCCAACGCCGAGCAGCGGCTGACGGGGGACATTGAGCGGTGGAGCCTGGCGCTCAGCTCGCTCGTGAGCAATGTTTTGAAGCCGCTGCTGGACATTGTGCTGTTCACACGGAAGCTGTCGGAGCTGGTCGGCATTCAGGGACCGATCGCAGCCATGGGCTGGTACGTCCTCTCAGGTACGCCGCATGCACACACATACACACACTCCATGCCATGTTGCTATGGCCTGTCTGTGTGCAGGTTTGGCGATTCGTGCGGTGTCGCCTCCGTTCGGCAAGTACACGGCGCAGGAGCAGCGGCTGGAGGGCGAGTACAGGGCCGTCCACGCTGACATTGTCAACAATGCTGAACAGATCGCCTTCTACAGGTGGGTGAGGCAGGGAAGAGAAGAGCTTACCGACATGGGATGGCATGCTGGAGGGAGGACTTGAGCTCTCTCTGTGCATGTGTGTATGTGTAGGGGGAATGTGTTTGAGCAGCACCGCGTCAAGTCGGCTTTTGAGCGGGTGGTGGCGCACCTGCAGCATCTGCAAGTCAGGTGGGTGGTGTACATATCAGTCAGCTGACTGAGTGACAATGACATGTAGAATGATGGACAGAATACAATACACACGGTGTATGTATTGTGGTTTTGTTTGCAGGCGTCTCTACATGGGTTGCTTCGACTCATTGCTGGTCAAGTACGGCGCTGTGCTGGTGGGCTACACGGTCGTCGGGCTGCCTGTCTTCGGCCCCAACCGACAGGCCTACCTCGACTCAGTCCAAAGCGACCCCACACAGATCACGCAGGCGAGTGCATGCCATGCCACACAGAGAGAGAGACAAAGAGGGAGGGGATACTACACACTGTGTGCCTACATGTCCGTGGGTGCGTCAGGACTACGTGCGCAACTCATCTTTGCTGATCAACCTGGCTAAGGCGATTGGCAAGCTCGTGGTCGCGTACAAGGACCTACAGCTGCTGGCAGGTCAGTCAGTAAGACAGTGAGGGAGAGAGGGGAGAAGGGGGGGGGGACCTCTGACATGGCCCAGTGTGCCTCCCTCGCTTTGTATGTGTGTAGGGTATACGGCGTTGATAAGCGAGCTGCAGGATGTGCTTGCCGACCTCGAGCAAGGCCACTACTCGGCATTCGTCCCAAAGACAACCACATCCACCACAGACACACAGGTAAGTCAAGATGGATGGATATGCTGTCATATCCATCCATCCATCCATTCATCCATGCAGCCGTCGATCCAGTACCCCGAGAGCGAGGCTCGCCCACCCCCCTCCCCCTCTCACGCCCCTCTTCGCGGCCGCATAGTGCCCTCCGATGAGATCCGCTTTGTGGACGTGCCCATCGTCACGCCGGCGGGCGACCTGCTCATCAACAACATCTCCTTCTCGGTGCGCAGAGGCATGAACGTCTTCATTATTGGGCCCAACGGATGCGGCAAAAGTCAGTCAGTCGGCTGAGGGCGCACACACAGAGAGGCGGGCAGGGAGGGAGGCTCTCGCGGCATCCCTGAGTGAATGAATGTGTGTGTGTGGTTGGCGTGCAGGCAGTTTGTTCCGGATACTGGGTGAGCTGTGGCCGCTGCTGGGCGGGGAGCTGCACAAGCCACCACCACATGAGATCTTCTACATTCCGCAGAGGCCGTACTTCCCAGAAGGTACGGTAGGGTGTGCTGTCTGGGCGAAAGCAGCACACACAGCCACAGGGCACTTTCTCTCTCTCTCTCTCTCTCTCTGTGTGTGTGTGTGTGTGTGTGTCAGGTTCGTTGCGTGACCAGATCATCTATCCCGACACAGAGGAGGAGTGCTATCAGAAGGGGTGCACCGACTGGGAGCTGGAAGAACTGTTCGGCATGGTGCGGCTCAAGTACCTCCTCAACAGGTGCCCATACGGATGGGACACATGGTGAGTGCACTGCACTGGTGCACTGACTGACGGACCACATAACACACATGCAAGCTAAGCTGTCATGCAAAGCATACGATATGCCGCTGATTGACTGATTGCACAGGAATGACTGGGATGAGCGTCTGTCTGGCGGTGAGAAGCAGCGGCTGGCCATGGCGAGGCTCTGCTACCACCAGCCGGAATTCGCCATTCTCGGTGGGGTGGGGTGGGTAGTGCCTGCAGACACATATATCACATCAGTCAGTCAGTGTCGCTCACAGGCCATATTCGGTGGGGGCTGTCATCGTCATCATGGCATGGATGTGTGTGGTGTGACATGTGTTGGTCAGATGAGTGCACGAGTGCCGTGTCGGTGGACGTCGAAGGCCACCTCTACTCACAGTGCAAACAGAGGGGTACGTTAGTTACATACAGTCCGCTGGCTGATGGATGGAATCCATTCGCTCACACCATCTTGCTGGCTCAGGGATCACGTTCATCTCCATTTCCCACCGGCTGAATCTACTCAAGTACCACGACTACCTCCTCAAGTTTGACGGACAGGTAACACCCACCGTACATCCCGTCAGTGAGACAAGAAATGCACAACAGGCCTGCCACGCACCAAGGCAATGCATTCAATGGTACGTGTCCTCATGTCCTGTTCTCCGTGTGTTTGGTCTGTCTGGTGGGTATCGGTGCTATCGGTGAGTCAGGGTGGTTGGAGTTTTGAGAAGATCGATCAGCCCCTCCGTGTGGACTCGTACTCGTCATTCCTCACCTTCCACCAGCCCCCCAACCCTCCCCCTCCACTCATGGCCGGTGAGCAACCCTCAATCCTCTCACATCACAGACACACTTGCAGACACCCATGTGTATGTGTGTGTGTGCGTGTGTATCTTTATTTATGCAGGGACTCCCCCCGCGCCCTCCTCCACCACCTACCCCCCCGACCCGCCCCCCTCCTCCAGCCCGTCAGAAGCGCCAAATCAGCCCGACACAGCCGACCAGCCCCTCCCCTTCTACCACCCTCCCGCTGCCGCGGCTGCCGCGGCTGCCGCTGCCTCCTTCAGCAGCCACCCTGCAGAAATGCACATCCACCCCTCACAAAGCCTGACCTCTCTGGCGGCGAGGCTGCCACTAGGTGCGCTGCGGCAGGTGCCGAGCGTGCCGGGCGATATGCCGTCGATGCGGCACCCGCCCTTGCTTGACTCGTTGGGCGATGACGACAGGCATGGCCACCATGGGAGGGGGAGCAGCGGGAGTGAGTACGGCTTCAGGGTGCATCCGCCTGACATGCTGTCGCCCATCGATAGCCCGCTATATCGGGGCATGAGCGACTGATGACATCCATTCCCCCTCCCTTTTTAGGGCCTTGGATTTATATGCATTTACCCTTGCAAGGGAGGGCCATATGGCGGATGCATCGTTGAATCTGTTTGAGTCGCTGACACAATCCCTGGAGGCACTCTACACCTCACTCGTCGAGCAGGGCGCCTCAGCCGCCGGCGTGGAGGTCCGCCTGGGGTCCGTTCTCGCCACCGTCCAGAGAGCATTCGCATCCATCACACCCGCCCCAGCAACAACCAGGAGACCACCAGCGCCATCGGCGAGCAGCAGGCCATCCCAATCGCAATCGCAATCGCATTATCCAGATAACCCATTATCCCCTGCTGCTGCGCCATCGGCTGCACCACAAAGCAGTGTTCACAGTCATGTAAGGAGGAAGGGCGAGAGAGGGGCGCGGCTGAGTGGGCGAGCGCATCAGGGTCAGGCGGGGAGGGATCTCAGGGGCGGCGCGAGAAGGGCTACTGGGAGAGGGGATGGAGATGGTGATCTCACTCCTCCGGCATCGCTCCAGGTACGAGTCAGAGAATGGCGAAAACGAGCGCCGCGCTTTCATTCTTCTTCTGTTGTGGGGTGGATCTGTGTGTGTGGTCCATCCATCCATCCATCAGGGCGAAGACGCGGCTTTCGCTGCCATCCTCGCAAAAGCCAAGAAGGCAGTCGGCCTCTCAGACTTCCCCACAGCCCCGCAACCATCAGGATCATCATCAGCAGCAGGAGCTGCTGCTGCCGATGAAGCCAAGAGGAAGCCGACCTCCCCTGCAGCCCCACCTCACACAAACGACCATGTCGATGGCCCGGCGGATGGTGCAGGGGGTGAGGACGGGTGTGTTGGGGCGACCCTGCCTTTTGACGTCGGCGATTGGCAGCGGCTGGAGTATCTGAGGCACAGACTGAACAGCACACTCGCGGAATGCGAGAGGGACCCAGCAATGGTGTGTTGGTCGGGGGCAAACATAGAAGCGGAAGATGTGATTGATATATGGTCACGTTTGTTTGTTTGCCTTTCAGGGCCCGCAGCAGCATCGGGAAGAGTTCCTGAGCCGCCTGAGTGCACGCCCTCCCTCCCCCACCCCCTCTCTTTTCGGCTCACCGGAGCCCTCCCCGCCCCCCCTCGCACCTAGACCCCTGGCTGCCGGCGAGGAGGCCCTCGTCAAGGGCGTGATGTTCACGTGCCTGGCCTCGTATGCCAAGGAGGTCATCATGTCGCTGCCGCACTTCATCGACGCGTGTCACGGGCAGGCGTGGTCGCGGGTGATTGCGGAGCAGCCCCATGAGGGCTGGGCGGGGAGCGAGCCGTGGATGCGGGGCTTTGGGAACTCTCTGTCGCTGTTTGCGGTATGTCGGTGGCTTGAGCAGGTGCGGCAGCACTTCGTCAACACTGCGGGCACTGTGGGGGCCGAGCGTGAGAGGCAGCCCGACAGGCGCGGCCCCATGGCGCTTGCCATGGTGAGGGCATCTGATGGTGCCCCACACCTGCAGTGTGCCACCCAGCTGCTGCAGCGGGTGGAGCCTTGCACCAACAGCACCAGCACCAGCAGCAGCAGGAGGAGGGGCCGGCGGGAGGGGGGAAGAAGAGAGAGAGAGAGGGGTAGTGGCGATGTTGGTGGCGACGGGGAGGGTCTGCCGATGCCGTGTGACGCGGCGTTTTACAGGGCTGCCGACGACCTCAAGAGGATGAACATACCCCTCAAGTAAGCCCAGCCCGTCGGGATGCACCTCACACACACACACACACGCCACGCCATGAGCCACTTTTCCCTTTGTATGCACCCCTGTGCACATGCAGGTCGATTGTAGACGAGTACTACGACGTGGTGTCGGCGCAGCAGGCCAACCGCACCCTGGAGCAGCTCATCCAGCTGCTCGACATCTTCGAGGCCGCCCTCGACGCCATACCTCCCCCACAGAGACCGCCGAGAGAGAGAGAGGGAGAGCACGAACACGACTCAGAGATGCGGACGGCCTACATGCACATTTATCGTGCGGTGAGCTTCCTGGCGCAGCAGTGCATCCAGCACCAAGAGGACACACAGGCCTAGGGGGGTTGGGGCGTGTGAGTGGAGTGAGCGAGTCAGACAGGCTGACACACTGACGCACTCAGTTCGTGAGGATATTTGTGTGCCGCCGGAGTGCGGTGTGTGTTCATCGATTCATGCATACCTATGACGATTTTCTCTTACGGCATCACAAATGCAACCCGCCAGGGTCTCCATCTGGGCCGCTCGAGCCAATCTTTACATCAAGATCTGGAGCCGCTGTTATGGTAGAAGGTCCAGGGTGCAAGAGGAATGGAGAGCGATTGAGGTGTTTGGCGGGCCAGCGCATCATTCGCGTCGCACTCGGACCTGACGCAGCGCAGGCCCTCTGCAACCAACGCGTGAAGCGGGTCTTCACGGTATGTACGAGTGCATGAGCCGTGGAAGAGAGAGCCTTGTGGATGGATGGATGGAGAATGTTGTGTATTGTATGTGTTGCAATGCAGGTAGGAAAGGAGCTGTTCATCATCGCAGAGGATGCCGACCACTGTCTGCGGCTCCACTTCGGTATGTAACTTTCAACACCCAGTGAACGTCACAGCGGTCACACTTTCTTTCTCTGTTCCTTCCTTCCCTTCCTGCCCAGGCATGCAGGGCCATATTCGACTAAGCAAGACCGATAGTGCCGAAGCCGCTGCTGCAGCAGAGCCCGCCCCTTCGCTCCCCCAACAACACCCTCATCCATCCTCCGGCATCGAGAGATTCCTCGTCAGGCAAGACAGTGCCGGCAACGACGGCCAACCGGCCAGCAGCGCCAGTGCCCTCCCTCCCGGCCGCAACCCCTTTACACCCTCTCTCGCCAACCACAGCAGCCGACCCGAAGCGAAGCAGCCGATGAAGCGCCCTGCAGAAAACGGCGCGGGAGCAGCTGGCGAGAAGGCCATAAAGAGGGCCAAAGGCGGAGATGGGGGTGCGGCTGGGGGGAAAGACAGGAGCCTGACGATCGAGATAGTGTGTGAGAGGGACATTGTGAGGGTGTTTGAGGGCACGGTAGAGGTGCGGACGGTGCGGTATGCGTTGAAGGTGGAGGAGCGTCGGTCGCTGGACATCCTGGCGGCGTACTTTGACTTCCAGAGGGCCGTGGGCCTGATACGCGGGGATGCAAGGAGGGTATGCGACATCGCCATGGACCAGAACATCCTGCCAGGTATCTATTGTTTGATCGTCTGTGCGGTGGGATGGATGAGGTATTCCTTTGTGGTTCCTCTGTCTCTCGTTGGTTTGTACTTACTGTGCTCCGCTCCCAGGAGTCGGAAATATGATCAAAGTCGAAGGCCTGCACAACGCGTCAGCCGCCTACCTTTTTACACACAACACACATCATGGAGGGAACCACAGAGCGAGCTGTGCGTCGGTCTGTCCACTCTGTGTGTCTGTGTTGTTGTCTGTCTGTCTGCCAGTGGGGTGCATCCCGAGCTGCGCGGCGTAGATCTGTCGCCCGACGTCGCCATGCGGCTGGTGAGGTGTCTGAGAGACTTCGCCAGCATCATGTACAAGAGGGAGGGCAAAATCCCCCTCGCCACATTCATGAAGGTAAGCTAAGCTTATCAACCAACACAACCACCGCCAGCCACACACACACATCCTATCCCCCGTGTCTCCATCCATCCATCCATCCATCCGCAGGTCTACAACAAGCTGACGTGTGTGGCGTGCGGCACACGAGTGGAGGTGATCCGAGAAGGCCACTATAACCGGCTCACATACCTCTGCCCCACGTGTCAGCCGAGGGCGGGCCCTCCCCAACCTGCCGCCCCTGTCCCTGCTGGTGCCCCATCTGCCCCCTTGGCGGCACACCGTCCCCCTGCAGGCGGCCGCCAAGAGGGCGAGAGCGCACAGGACGCCATTATGCTTGACTCAGATCAGCAGCATCAACGATTTGACCATCAAGTCCACCCGCAGCAACAACAACAACAGCAGCAGCAGCAGCAGAAACAGCCAATGCACCCACGGCTTCCCTCCCGTCCGCCTGCAGCAGCAGCTGCTGGTGGTGGTGGTGATGGTGGTGGTGCTGGTGGTGGTGGGGGCGGCAGTGGCATTGCGGTGCTGTCCCCCCGTGGTGAAGGTGTGCGGTGCGGGTGTGGAGTGCTGTGTGCGCTGCGGACTGTGTATAGAGAGGGGGCCAACAAGGGCAGGATGTACTACACCTGCCCCAAGCCGCAGAAGGCCGCCTGCAAATTCTTCAAATGGTACACCCACCACGCAGGCAGGCAGAATTGAAGGAGCGCACAGAGGGTGGATCCACACGCACCGCACCTGTGGATATTTGGTTGCATTCATTTTGTCCACACAAACAAAACAGGGCGGATGAGAATTTCCCGCGGTGTGGGCACAACAAGCCCGCGGTGCTGCGCCAGGTGGTCAAGCAGGGCCCCAACAACGGCCGATACTTCTTCGCTTGCAGTATCAAGGGCACGTACTCATGTGGTGCGCGACGCGAGACACCATATACGACCAGAGCAAGGGAAGGAAGCCATCAAGGAAATGACTAACACACATGTTACTCTCTGCAGGTTTCTTCGAATGGGCAGATGGGCAGATACAGCAGGCAAGCACACAGTTCACTTGTCTCCTTCCTTTTCATTGCCCATCCCATCCACCGTCCCATCACTGCGCGTGTATTCACTATGGGTGTAGGCCGGCAGCAATGAGGGCACCAACATCTCGTGCTCCGGCACATCAGCAGGCTACAAGGCCTTCACCAAACCACTCAACATGATGCAGCCCCGCCCACACCCACACCCCACACACCCACACCCGCAGCCCCGGCCGCTCGCACCACGACCACCACCGCGCCCGCCCCCTCCCCTCATGCAAGGTGGTGGAAGAGGGAGGCCGGCAGCGCCAAACCGCGCACCGCCGCTCCCACGGGCCCCTTCAGTAGATGCGCCAGCCGGAGGCATTGGTGCAGCCCATGGTTCGTACGTATACTGAACATTATCCATGTGTTGCTGTGTAGGATGGATGAATGGATGGATGGGTGAGACACATGTTTGTCTGTCTGTCTGTCTGTCTGATTGTCAGTGCCGATGAGGTGTCCGAGGGCGCCGCCCCGTGGGCCGACCGCCCATGGTGACGAGGCCACCCCTGTAGCAGTCAGTCTGTCATCCTGGTGGGTGCATAAATGTAATGTATATATGTCGTCTGACTGACGGATGGATGGATGGAACAGTGGCAGTGCAGTGAGTGCGGTCCGTTTCGTGTGCTGTGCTGTGCAGCATATACATATAGCTCTACAGATGCGCGTGGTTTACCTCTGTGTGGATTCAGACCAGCAAGCGACCGACAAGTGTCTGTCCTTCATGAATGGAATGCACACACATGAATGAGTCCCCTCCCATGCGCCAGCCATGTATTTATTGTACACACACCGCACCGCACGAACCGCACCGCATCACATCACCCCAACCAACCGCCAAACAGACACTCCACTCCCACCCTCCCTCCACTCACACAGGTCTGTGAGGCAGCCTGTTGACGTTCTCCTGCATCTCTCGGTGGGACGGCGGGGGGATGTCCACAAAGAACGGCTGCAGCGCACGGTGCGGCCCAGGCAGCTCCACCTTGCCCTTCCCAGGCCCCAGTCTGGGCCCCTTGGACACCACGATCTGCTTGCCCTCCTTGTCATGGCCTGGCGCCACGTCCGCTCCCTCGACCTCGGCCTCCCCTTCCGGTGGATCTGATGGGGGTGGGGCAGCGGCCTCCGCTTCTTCTGGTGGCTCATCGTAGTGGGCATCCTCGTCGCTGTGCCACTGCAGTGCGGTGCGGTGCACACATAGAGCACACAGACAGAGAAACGCTACGCACAGGGGAGCGTGTTTCTGGTTGTGTGCGGTGTGTGGTGTGTGTGGTGGGTGGAGTGTTTGCCTTGCCTCGTATGCATCGTCTCGTGGTATGAGGTTGATGTCGGGGCAGAAATTGTCGTAGATGTCATACAAACCCTTCCGACGAGCCTCCTGCACACACACACACACACACACACACACACAGAGAGAGAGAGAGAGAGAGTGACATGCCCACCGACACACACACACACACGAGTGCTCTCATATCATTCACCCCCCCCGCGTACCGCTTCGTATTTCCTCCTGTCCCTGCGTGTGCCGTTGGTCATTTTGTCCCACACGAACCTCTTCCGATCCCAACCCACAGGATCAGCCGGCCGGAGCTCGCCAGGCCTAAACCGATAGATATCACTCACACCCATTCACAACACACCAGGTATCATCGTCAGTGTGCTCTGGTCACCCACCGATCGACGTATTCGATGAAGGCCATGGGCGTCGAGTCGCGGTACCGAAAGCGGAACTGGTTGACAATGCGAGTGAAGAAAAACTGCCGCTCGGCGTACCGCGGCAGCAGCACCTCATACAAGATCCGCCGCGCCGCCGGGGTCCGCAGCATACTCTCCACCTTCAGATCCGACTCGGGCGTGTCTGAGTGAGACCGACGGATGGATGGCAGATAGGCACTCACTCACTGCACTGTGCGTGTAAGTCGAGCGCCCGTGTGCAGTGCAGTGCCACCCAACCGACCTTTCTTAGCGAGGAACACGATCTCCTCGGCGTATTGCTGCAGCTCCTTGGCCTTGGAGAGGGTCGTCTCGATGCGCTGGTAGCGTATCAGCGCCTCAAGAAGATTTCTGACAGGGAGGGGAGGGGAACACACAGCAGCAATGAGCAGGGGGGGCTCTCACTCACTGCACGAGTCTGCTGCTCCATCCCTTCCCTCTGCTCACTTGAGCATGTCCCATCTGTGGTGCGGGAAGCGGTTGAGTTTGCGCCAGTAGGAGCGCTTCATGCCCCGCTGGATCATCACGGCCGTCTTGACGTAACCCATGGCGGCCACTCGTGTGATGTACTCGGATCAACTTTTGTGCAGATCTGTCTGTTTTGAAGCCTCTTGCTTCAAGCAGCGGTGAAAGGGCCCTTGCCCACTGGCCTTAAGCTGTTGAAAGAGCCTCCTAGCCTGGTCTTGCCTTCTAAGCTCGCCAGATCTACGAGCTAAGCCTTGAAGGGGAGGAGCATCTATCATGAGGTTGCGGCATCTTGGAATCTTTGTGCAGGGGATGACGGCCGTCATGTATGCACACACCTGCCGAGCTTTGCATCACTCATCATCAGCAGCACTCAGCGGCATCCCCATGCGTCAGCAGCACCGAGGCCTCACGCCCGTCCGTCATCACAACACGCGCCCATGGCGGAGGCGCGGCAGCAGCGGCCGGCATCTCTCACCCTTGCCGGCGATAAAGGACCCGCTCAATGAGCCATCCCAACCACCTCTGAGTCACACAAACGACACGGAGCGGCTGACCGACGCCCGTGAGATCTTCCCCTACCTCGTCAGCGAATATCGCGCATGGATGGACGAAGAGAAGAACGCATCACGGCTGCTCCTTGACAATGACGGCGATGGGCGTCAGGCGCTGCCGTGGGCCGCTGTGGTGCAGTACTACCGGGACGGCTGGGGGCGGTTCAGGCGGCGGCTGGACGATGTTGGGGAGAGGGTTGACACGAGTGTGTTGGCCAACGGGGCAGCGGCGGCTGTGAATGCTGTTATCATAGTGGCGATACTGCGGACCGTGTTGGTCAGGGCAGTCACGCTCCAAGGGGTAGGCAGCGTACGCACACAGACGAGGGAGGGGAAGAGGCGATGCCTGTGTGTGTGTGTGTGTATATATATACAATGCAGGCCGTTGGCTTGCCGGATCTGTTGAGTGAATTTGGCTTCCCCGACATTAGCACTGTGCGTCCGGTTTTCGAGCAGCTGTCGGCGTTAGACTATAGCACCAAGTGCGGGGCCATTTTCGTCATCCTCCTGGTCGAACGCCTTCTCTGCCTCTCCGAATGGGTGCCATTCGGTGCGTGATGATTGAGAATGAATCGCTCTACATCCATCATCTGTGTCTCTCATATGCCATCAATCCATCGATCCATCCAGGCACACTCGTGGCCTTCCTGTCGCCTCTGCTGTTCGGCGGGCTGCTGCCGGGCATCGTCACGAGCAACGCCCTCGGCACTGCGTCGGCGAGTGTCAACTTCCTCATTGGGCGGTACATCCTGCGCGACTGGGTGGCGGGCCGGTGGGGCGAGCAGGGGTGGTTCAGGCGCCTCAACGGTGTCATGGGAGACCGCTTGGAGGGGTTCAAGGTCGCATTGCTCCTCAGATTCGCGCCAATCCTTCCGATACCTTTCGATGCACACTGGTAGGTCAGTCAGTCAGCAGACAAGGGAGGGAGGGAGGGAGGGAGGGGCGTGCGTGTGTCCATGCTGCATTCGTGTGGCTGTATGCGTTGGTTTAGGTATGTGCTTGGCCTGACGTCGTTGCCTCTTGAGATGTTCCTCGCCGCCTACTTCCTGGGAAGCCTCAAAGGTGCGTATGCGGGTCACACACGCAGAGATCCCTCCTTGTCTGTATGTTGGTCGTGTGTTATGTTGCCGTGCTGTCTGTCTGTCTGTCGGTTTTGGTCAGTCAACATAGTTGATGGGATCATTGGCGACCAGCTGCTCAGCAGCGTCTTTCCCCGGGCCCCCCCGCCATCCCTCTCCCTATCGCCCGCCACACCCACAGTGGATGGCGCCGTTAACACCAGCAACCCCATTGAGCGCCTCACAGCGCTGTGGCAGTCCATCTTGGGGGTCTTCACGAGCAGCAGCACTCCCACCAGCAATGGTGCCGAGAGCGATGTGGTGGCCGCGCTGTCTGCTGCTGTCCCGCCGCCATTAGCAGCTGCCGATGCTCAAGTGGAGATGGGTGCAGTTGGTGCGGTGCAGCAGACGGCTGTCGAGGGGGCAGTGGGTGCACTGGGATTGGCGCCCGCCCAGGCGCAGCTGTTGGTGGGTGTGGAGATACTCTTTTTGTTGATACTGCAGGTGGTCGTGACGCAGCTGAGCATGGCCACACTCACCAAACTCATCCTAGAGCCGAGTGGTGGACCTGCTGCTGGCGGTAGAAGTGGTAGCGGGAGGAGTAATGATGCGACTGAGAAGGGAGAGAAAGGATGAGTGGGTAATCGAATCGATGGCTAGGAAGCTGTTTGGTGGGTGGCGGGTGGCGTAGCGTGTGTGTGGTGTGGATGATGGCGTGGCGTGTGTGGTGGTCTTTGTGTGTGTGTGTGTATGTGTGACGCTCTGAATGGTCCACGAATGAATATTCACAGAGAGAGAGGAGTCAGGCCATTCTCACACACGGAACACGCACACACGGCCGTCCACATGTGTGCACTCATCCATCCATCCCTCCATCCATCGACGACCACAGACACTCTGAATTGGGGTCACACACACACACACACACAGGCACAGGCACAGGCACACACACACACACACACACACACAGGCAGGCAGGCAGGCAGGCATATGAACACGCACACCCATCCATCCATCCATCCGTCGGCTCTACGGCTATCCTCTCTTCAACTTCTGCAATCTGTCGATCTGTCTGTCGGTCTGTCCTTCTGTATCTGCAAATCCGTCCGTCTGTCTGCCTGTCTGTCTGTTCGTGCGGTGCGGTGGCCCACTCGTTCCCCCGTGTGTGCCCGGCCCCACAGCGGCAGAGAGAGGCTGCTGGCCGGGCCGCGCACACACGAGAGAGAGGGGAAAAGCGTCATGAATCGTCAGTCGTCATGATCAATCGAATGCGCATATCGTGTGTGCGTATCTGTCTGTCTGTATGTTTGTCTTTCTGGCTATCTCCTCTCTGTCAGTCAGTCAGTCGGTCAGTCCGTCAGGCTATCTGTCTGTCTGTGTGGCTGTGTGTGTGTGTGCGATACAAGCATGCGTCATGCAGACAGACAGACAGACAGGGAGGGATGGATGGATGGTGCATTGGTATCGCTATGGCTATCTATGGGTGTGTATGGCGGATGTGTGTATGTGTATGTGTGTCGTCCGTCTACTTCTTCTCCTTGGGGTTCTCCTTGTCCCACTCGGCCTTCTCCTTCTCGTAGCGCTCCTTGTCCTCAGCAGCCTGACACACATACATCAACAACACACCGCCACACCACCACAACACACCACACCACACCACACCACCACATCCACACATGCCCCAGGTGTGTGCTGCGTTGCAATGCGTCGTGGTGTCGTGTGGTGTGTGTGTGTGTGTGTGGTACGTACCATGTCGACGTACGGCTGCTTCTCCTCCTCCGACAGCTTATTCTTCCACTCGTCACTGAGGGATGGACAGATCAGATAGACACACACACACCACACAGAAAAATACCGACCCCTCCATGCCATGCTGCACCCAATCCACCCATAGATCTACCTATGGGCACCATAGGTTACTTACCCAATGAAGGCCATACGTTCCTTGTTCTCCAGGTCGGGCTGCTCCTCCTTGACCTGCGGGCAGCGCTCCGCGTAGTAGAAGTTCCCTGCACACAGAACCACAACACACCACACCATACACACACCAGACGCCATGGCCAGGGGATCCGAACCATACACACATCACATCACACCACACCACACCACCGCATCCCGCCGGCGTGGAATGCATCCATCCATCCATATCCCTCTTGCATCCCTCCCTTCCTCCCTCCCTCCCTCCCTCCCGATCCGCTTACAGGCACTGACGGCTCTCTTGGGACCCTTGTCCTCCTTCTTGTCCTTGCCGTTCTTCTTGCCCTCCTCCTTCTTGACCTTCTCCTCGCCCTTGCCCGCACCCTTGGCCTTCTCGCCCTTCACCATAGCTCGCTATCTAGCTCGGTACGCACCGCACGCGCAGATGGGAACGTTGGATGGATGGACGGGACCGTTGGATGGTGCGAACCGACAGCCGGGCGGATCCGATGGGCGCTGAGGTAGCGATGAACCAACAAAAGCCGGCAGCAACTTCAAACAATGGCAGAACGCGCGAGCCGGTGGCAGATCTCTGCCTTTTGGCCAAGATGGTGCGTGTAAACATTTGAAGCACAGCAATTGAAGCACAGAGCGTAATTCGCAACGTCACTTGCGTGCGGAGCGTCTCCTGCCCTTCTCTCTCTCCTCCCCCATCTCAACCGCTGGTGGCCCCTCCCCCTCGCGGCCGACATCCTCATCTCTCTCTCGCGTCCTACCCCCGCCACCCTCCTTCCTGGCGTCCTTTCCCCCTCTCTGTCTTCGGGCAGGTCTGGCCTGCCGCACCGGATGTCGGCTGTTGGACGTCACGCGCGGCCGTGCAGTGGCCATCCCCCGTGCGCCTCTGCAGAGGGCCGCGATGCAGTAGAATATGTAATTACGGAAGCAGATGAGGCAGCAGCCCAGGACGGCTAGCAACACTGTGACGCCAACCAGAGGGCCCAAGCGGGACAGACAGACTGACACAGACACACGTGGCAAAAGGGAGAGGGAGAAGGATTGAGGGGATTTGTGTGTCCGATGCCTTCTTACTGTCCAGGTTGTCGACGAAGCATGCCAGTGCCCAGAAGGATGGGCAGATGTCCCGGCAGGTCACCTCGACATATATCTTGTCCTTCTCGTATTGGAAGTCGGGCTTGTAGTCACCCGCACCCAGACCCCCGATCTCGCCCTCCTCCTGCTGACCCAGTGTGCTCTGCATGGTAAACGACACAGTTCCAGCCAGCGGTCTCTGCTATCTGTCTGTGCTGCTCACTTCGGTGGCTGTGATGTTGAAGCAGATGGTGCGACGGTCTTCAGTCGCCGCCAGCTGATTCAGCATGCCAACCTGAACACACAACAAGGGACATCGATGCGTGGCCCATCCATTCGTCCATTCATCGAATACCATCCACCCACCGTACCGTGCATCTGGCGGCGCCGCCGAGCTCTGTCTCGGTGTTGAGCCGGAAGGTCACTTCTCGTGTGGCCTGTGGCGAGAGGGTCACTTGCTTGGCGCCTGAGTGGAGCAGGTAGCTGCTGCTGACGAAGCTGCACGCCTCCTGCGACAGCGAGGACATGTCGTTGCTCTCTGACGATGCCTGACGGGACAGCAATATGGGAGATGATGCCTGCCTCTGTGTGCTTTTGTGCCTACCTACCTGTTTGATCTGTTGGCAGCCTGCATTTCCCCAGCAGCACGAGACGCCGATCTCGTATTCCGCCGTCAGCTTGCCTGACCACGCCACGACACACATGTATACAGCCACCCTACACAAGACACGGGCCTTGTGCTGAGAGCTGTGCCAGAAACCAAACCACACACCAAACCCACGGATGTGGTTACCTGTGTTCTGGACAATGACGACCAGGTCTCCGCCCTTGAGTGCCTCAAAGTCAGCCATCCGCAGCCCGACAATCCTGCCGGGAGACAGCTGCAGCACCCACCTGCACTCCACAGCCGACCAGACACGGGCATTACACTGACCCATCTTCTCTGTGTGCGTGTGGTGCTTACCGCAGTGAGTCTGCCTTGGCTTCCAGAGTAATGAGAGAGGAGTGGTCGCCCAGCCACTGAATGAATGACCCAATGAATCACTCGAGGTGTGCGCATCCAGCCGGTGTCTGTGACCTTGAAGGTGACGCTGCGGGCGCTTCGGTCTGCGGTGAAGTTGGTGCGAGAAACGGCACGCAGGATGGACTCAGCTTCAACACGGTACCGCAGCTATGCAAAGAAACAAAGAGGCTCTGTCGGCTCTCGTGTCTGTGTCTGTGTGTGTGTGTGACCCACCAGCCAGTTTCTCTCCAGTGCAGGCTTGTCGAGATCATCCTGACACAAACAAACAAGCAACCACATACGCACATGCCAACCCCCCCCCCCACCTTTCGGTACTCGTTTGGGTTTCGCCCCGTGCAGGTGTTCTTCTTGGCGCTGCATCGGTCTGGCTGCAGCTTGAATCCCTCGTAGGTGATGCCTATCTTGTCGCAGCCCGCACCCGTCAGGTCGAAGTGGCTCTGGTCGAGGATCAGCGGGCCACGCTCGTCACCTATCCTCAACATGTCCTGACACGCCACACAGAGAGACACACATGTGATGCGGCTGAGAATGGACAGCCACCCAGCCACCCACCCCTGTGCTGTCTTCCGCGGGCCAGACGACGTACTTGTCCTCCAGCCATGTCGGCACGCCCTGAGACGCAATCCATCGACGCACCAACGCATTGCATCCACGCGCCTGTCTGTGTCTGCTACACACGCGAGTGTACAGCATTTTCTCGCTCACATCGTCAGGCAGGAGCGACCCTTGATACTTGACGATAATGCTCTGCGCCTCTGACGAAACACATGGGCCAGCTGCCTGCCTGCCTGCCTGCCTGCACCAGTTTCTATCTCTCTGCACCTGCAACCTTCCTGTTTGGATTGATGGTGGCTGTCCAGGCGGTCGGTTCACGAAATGAAGAAGAAGAATGAGAGGGGCCCGAATCACCTGAATGCCCAAACCAGCAGCAATCACCCAGTCAACAAAAAGGTCAAGGATGAGACAACCTGTTGTCCCTCTGCTCACCAAAGGAGACGACACAGGGCGGAGCATGCGAGGAGCAGTTGCGGTTGGACGACAGCATCGGCGCTGCACAGCAATTTGTTGCGCCGCCTGCGATGCGCACATGGATAGAACAAGAGCATCATGTGTCCATCCACCTACCAGGTGCCTTATCGCACTCATCATTGCCACATTCGCCGCATGCTTTGGGGCAGCAGAGGTGGCTCTTGGCCTCATACCCGCTGACGCCGCCCAGGATCTCCTCGCACATGTACATGGCCGCGATGTCGTACATCGTGATGCTGATGGACCACTGCCACTGCACTCATAACAGACAGACACACAGGGGACGTGCACTCAGACAGGAAGAGGCGATGGCAACCTTATGGGTCTGCACACGATAGATTTCGCTCCTGAAAGGAAGGGGACAAAGAGACAGGGGTGATCCTCGTGCATTGTGTGCTGGCTGTGACAGGCAGTCTCTGTCCCTCTTACTTCTCCTCTCCATAGCGCATCGCATGGCACGACCAAGGGGAATTGACTGACCGACCAAATGAAATGACACACAAGACAGCAAACACCAACCATCCCTTCTGCACGTATGCAAGTCGGCACATACATGTCCAGCACTCCAACTGCAGCCCCCTCTTCCACTCAATAGTCGGAAAGGCCGCATCAAAGTTATCGCAGAAGCAGCAGAACCCGCCGCTCGACGGAATGGGCTCGTACTTCCTGTCCGGCCCGTCGGGCTCGCCCTCGTCCTTGAAGAGCACGCCGCAGGAGAGCCGATTCCACTTGTTGTCCTTGACCCATGTGTTGTCCTCCGTGTGCTTGCGGTACAGCTTCATCTCGTCCGTCTCGCAGTTGTCGGTGCTCGAGAAAATGCCGCCGACTGCACGCCGATTGTCGAAGTTCTGCACCTCGGCTGCATCGTCATAGACATCCTGCCATCAGACAGACAGACAGATATGAAGCGGCAAGAGGAAGTGGCGGCACCTGTATGTAGACCAGTGGGTAGGACACCAACACGTCCTCCTTGAAGATCTTGACTCGGATGTCCTTCGAGAAGGACAGATTGACCCTCTCGCCGTCGCCCAGCGTGTCCTCAACCGACACACCGCCCAGCTCAAGGTACTCGGACCCGCCCTGTGGAGCACTCGCATGCAAGGCATGAAAAATGGCGGCGTGCCTCAATTGGTGATGGAGTGGCTCACCTCTCCCGTATTGATGTTGAGGAGCAGCACCAGCTTCTCTGTGCAGTCCAAGTCGGAGACGGACGTCTTGATGCATTTCTCCACTTTGGAGCTGCTGATGAGGTCGGCCGACACTGGTTGGAAGGCGGCTTGGAGGACAAGGAGAAGGGGCAGCTGTAGGGGATGCATGGCGAATGAATAAAGGCCAAGAAAAGGGGAATTTCTAGATCACATCTGCAAACTCACGCGCCAAATAACGGCCCTACGCGCATGTCGCACGTTCTCCAGATCTCCAGATCAACCACGACGAGAAACAATCTTAATAAATACACACACACAGAGCCGTACAAGGCCTCCTCACACACATCGTTCCGCCGACACATGCAGGCCACAGACATTGCTGCCAGTCCTGATGCGGAACCCATTGATGAAGCCACCGGGAAATCGGGTGTCGACCTCTTGCTGGATGCCGTCGCGAACCGCCGTATCGTCATCCATGGTAGTCAGGAGTGTGCTGCCCCAGGCGTGCACTCCGACACTGCTGAGGCCTCGCAGAGCGATTAGCGACTCCACACTCACAGCGACAGTCTCAGCGACACTCGCAATATCAGGGGGATCATCCGGTACTGCACACAAAGAAACACACCTTTCACCCTTTTTATTTGAGCCCATATTTTGTCATCCTTTTCACCTCACCGCGAGGGTCCACTGACAGTCGGCCTATCTCCGGCAGCAGGTCTCTCTCCTCGCCCCACTGCACCCCGCCCTCTCCAGGCCACTCCACTGAGCTTCCCACAATCCCCAGCTTCTTGTCGCTACCCATCGTCTTCAGCAACCCCAACACCTCTCCAGCAGGCGACGGCGGACGCGCCCTCACGTAAAGACTCTTCAGCTGCGGCATAACCTCGATCATGTGGCGTACAGCCACCGTGCTCGATGCATTGAGCTCATTGGCGAGGGGAAAGGCGTCAGGTTGCAGATGACGAAGGACGACAGGGTCGGGGGCTGGCGTGTTGCTGGGAGGGAGATCATCTTGATAGGAGACGTTGACTCTCTCCGCCCTGCCAAATGTGAGACTGCTGATGAGACGCCTGTCGTCCTCGGTGGGCGTGTCGAGAGCGGGCAGCTGGGCCACGTCGATATCCCAGAAGACCGCCTTGGCTTCGCTGGCGATCTTCTTGACAGTGTCGGTGAAGAATGGGGCGGCAAAGGGGGGCAAATTCGGAGGGAGCACGAAGAAGAAGCCATGGATGCCGCCTGAAGTTGTAACGTTGATGGGAATGTTGGCGGTGCTGCCAGCTGATTGGCGGAGGCGCTCCAGGGCCGAGAGTTGGGGGAAGAGCCTCGAGGAGAAAACCGGGTCGACCTGGAGTTGGACGTTGACCACCGAGAGCGACTTACAGCCGTGAGCAACCAATATATCCTGAGAGACGAAAGGACCAACCAATCAACAAAGACTAAGCCTCCATGCATTTGTTTGCGTACCGTCAGTCGATTGATGTGCGCTGCGTCGTCTCCTCTCAGCACGAGTGTGCCGATGGTCCGGAGCCCTGCCAACCGCCCTCTCTGCCCATCAGCTGGTCGTGGCACGCCCGACAGCGCCCCGGCGACCACACGGGGGTCTGCACGCAGATCAAGCTCCTTGAGAGAGGCGGCTGTCTTGAGCAATGCCCACAAGGATGGGTTCCACAGGTCCATCACACCCTGCACCTGCTGCAGAGACTCCATGGCCCATTCGCGCTCTGCTATGTACATCGCGAGGTCACCGTCGAGGCCTCTGATCTCTGAAAGGGCCGGCAGATTGACGCAGGGGGAGAGCGGGAAAGTGGGGATAGGGCCCAAGCAGCTGGCACGGACTCGTTGCATATCCTGCGGCGTCACTTGGTCGGTTTCCGTGAATGTGATGGACCGGAGGGTGCCCTGGTCGATGTAATCTCCACTCCCGGCGCCCCCCTCTGTATCCCCTGCCGCCGCTCTGGCCTGCTGCCGCTCCTTCTTCGCGAGTGCCGCACGGCCGTGTGAGTGCCCTTCCACCAGCTATCTCCAAGTCGTCCGACGCCAGCGGGAGAAGCCACGCGGGAAGCGCACCAGGAGTTCCTTGAGGTTCACTGCCCTCTCGCCCCACTGGCGAGCCGCACTGTCCGGCATCTTCTCCCATAGTGACCGCGTCGTCTGGTCGTCCCAGTCGATGCTGAGGTGGGTGTAGTGGGCCGGTGCGTGGGCCATGATGTCTTTGTTGAGGCGCTGCTGACCGAGCTCCCAGGGCGGCGAATAGCTGAAGATGTGGCGAAGCTCCTCGGCTGCCATGAGATGCTCAGGCTGACATAAACAACACACACAACGGCAGTAGATGGATCCAGGCAGGACCTTCACGTGCCGGAATGTGAGTGCGGCCTACCGGTGCTTGACTCATGGCCGGCTTGTTTCCCTTTTGGGACAGACAAGACGAGGCAAAGGAAGGAGTGGAGGGCGCCGAGATGATGAACACAAACCTGCCATGACATGACAAAGGACAAGACCTCACTCAGAACAGAACAGTCGCATGTTTGTGTTCTCATTTCAACGTCTTACAGTTGTACAGTATCGTCGCCAGGTCGTCAAGGAGTCATCTCTTGGGGAGCGTGGAAGTGGGCGATCCACTTTGCGAGCTTAGAAGAGGAGGAGAGGAGGGAAGAGAGCGGGGGAAGGAGTGTATAGGTCTTGTCTTGATAGATCCTGTACAGATCTTGTATGTGTGAGCGGTTTGCATGAATGTGTACCCGGAGAGATGCACAAGGGGACGCTGCTGAGGGACTTGCTGAGGCGTCGAGGCTTCCTGATTGACGCGCCCATCCCTATGTGGGCTCGAATCGCTGAAGAGAAGGGCTTCCAGGTACGTGCCAATGAATCCAGAAAGCAGCCTCGCGTTAGTTGCTGTGTTTGTGTTTGACGTTTGTGTCTGTGTCTGTGTGGGTGATGGTGCAACACAACAGGGTGTTTGGGGTTCATCTTTGGGTCTGTCCACCTTGATGGGTGTGCGTGATGCGAATGAGTTGTCCTGGACTGAGGTGGCCGACATGATGGGGCGCGTCGCCGACTCCGTCCGAATCCCTGTCCTCGTGGACGGTCAGTCAGCGGCCAGGCATCGCATCGCACAGGATAGGACAGGACACTCTTATCTTTCCTCCTTCCTCTTTCGGTGAACGAACAGGCGACTCAGGCCATGGCCACTCTAAAATTGCCAGCCAGTTCGTCCGCAGGCTCAATCAGCGGCGCATCGCAGGGTGGGTTGGTCAGGGCTAACGCAGCACTCACGACGCACAACACACCGGCTGCTGCTGTGTCCACCCACCCATACCATCAATCCATCTGTTGTCAGTGTGTGCCTTGAGGACCGAACCTTCCCGAAAAGGAATGCCCTCATCAAGCCTGCTGACGGGGACAGGGAGGCCCTGGCTGACGCAGCCGAGTTCTGCGACATGCTGCAGGAGTGTCGCGAGAGCCTCCAGCAAGACGACCCCGGCAACCACTTCCAGATCGTGGCCAGGACTGATGCGCTGCCTGCCGGCTGGGGCCTGCCGGAGTGCATTCGGCGTGCGCGGGCGTATCGTGACGCCGGTGCTGATGCGCTGATCATCCATTCGACTGAGCGGACATCTGATGAGGTTGAGGCGTTTCTGGAGGAGTGGGTCAAGGAGGGCGAGGGCGGGAGGCGCGAGCCCGTGCCGATTGTGCTCATTCCCACCACGTACGCCGAGAACGAGAGCACGGACATCACCCGGCTCTTCGACATGGGTGCCAGCTGCATCATTTGGGTCAGTCAGTCACTCAGTCAATGCAAGAGAGAGGCGCATGGACGGATATACACACGCATGGCATGGCACACTGTGTGGTGTATGTATGTATTGTGTCAGGCGAACTACATGTTGCGCAGCGACATCAAGGCGCAGCAGTCGACTGCCGAGGCGATCCACGCCTCCCAGAGTGTGCGGCGGTGCGAGAAGGATGGCTCCATGGCGCCCCTGTCAGAGGTGTTTCGGCTGCAGCGTGAGCAGATGCTCCAAGACGCACAAAGGGGCGATGGATGCGCAAGGCGATACAGTTTGTGAAGGCCGACGAGCAGGAAGCGAGTCGGGCGAGGGCAAGATGAGATGCTGCTTGTGTGTGTATGTATGGCTAAGCATGGATGCGTAGTGTAATGTTTTCGTGCATTCATGGATGGATGGATGCATGTGTGTGCCTTTCGTGCACTTGTGCAGAGCCTGCACAGCACGGAAGGAGCGGGGAATGAGGCGCATGTATGTATGTATGTATGGATGTATGTATGTGTTGGTGTCTGTGTGGTTGGTGTATGCCTGTAGTTTTGAATGTTTTGAATGCAAGGCGGATGGAAGGCGGCCTTCCGTCGATTCGTGCAATCGTCGTGTGTACAGAGTGGCTCTTTGTATTAAGAGGCAGAAAGAGAGAGAGAGAGAGAGAGGAAAGGGGAAGAGGCGGTACATTGCGTGTGTTCGTGTCCATCCATCCAGGGCGAGTCCGCTCGAGTGAGCCGAGCCCATCTGTAATGCGTGTTGCATTCCATTCGTGTGGTATGCGTGTGTGCGTGCGTGTACACACGCGACTTACCGTTTAGGTGTTTTTGATGGGACTTTGCTCTGGTGCGTGGTGCGGGGTGGAGAATGCTCTGCGGCTAGTGGTTAGTGGTGTGCTCACCAAGCCACCAAGACATGTACATGCATTCGCACGCTGAATGATACACTGCTGACACCTGGAGCATCTCTGTCCCACTTAATTTCACCGTCTAGTGATTTACTCATCCACTAAGTGCTTGGTGTGCCGGCTCCGGAGATGAAGTGGATTGTTCATGCAGTCCGTGACATCAATTGGCGACTTCGATATTCAACGCTTCTGTACAGACCAATGAACGGCGTACACATGGTGGCTTCGATACGTGTGTACAGACGATCGCCAGTGAGTGAACGGTACTCAATCGTGCATCTAGCTATACAGATGTACACATTTACGCAGTGATCGATCAATCTGGTCATTCAGAAGCGAAGCAAAGCAACGCGTCTCTCTCTCTGTCGAATCGCTCTCATTTGGCGCTGATTGATTGACTGACTGACTGTTGATTGACTGATCCATCGGCACGACTCACTGATCCATCGAGTGAGTGACTCGTCGCCCACCCCACTGCCTGTGTCTCTGTGCGCCGGCTCGCTCTCTGCCTCCGAGTGACTGTCACCCACCCATCCATCCGTCGGCCATCGACCCACCCATCGATCCATCGAGTGTGAGTGAGCGAGCCATGGCGAAGGCGTCATCCAAGAGCACAACCTCCAGCAAGTCGATGGGCAAGGGCGAGAAGAAGGGCAAGAAGGACAGCACCAAGAAAGCGGGACCCAAGCGACCTCGAACTGCCTGTATGCACACCCACACACACCCACATGCATGATACAGACAGACAGACAGACGGACAGAGAGAGACAGACAGGCAGCTGATGGAGAGAGGTCTGTCTCATGTGTGGTGCGTCTCCTGTGTGTGTCATTGCAGACTTGTACTTCTCGATGGAGCGCAGGCCAGAGGTCAAGGAGAAGAACCCGACAATGGCATTTGGCGAGATTGCGAAGTTGTTGGGTGTGCAACAAACAGACATGCAACAAACATCAAAAACACCACACCCACGCCCCGCACGTATGCGCCATGCATATGCATTGTGTGCAGGTGCTGAGTGGAAGGAGATGTCGGACATCGACAAGCAGCCGTACAAGGATCAGGTCACACACACACTACTGAGACGACATGATATCCATCCGTCCTCGCTCCCCTCTGTCTGTCTGTGTGTCTGTCTGTGTGTGTCAGGCTGCTGAGGACAAGGAGCGCTACGAGCAGGAGAAGGCCGAGTGGGAGGAGCAAGACGACAACCAAGACGACAAGGCATGAGCCAAGGGCATGAGCCACACACACCACCATCAACACGAGACGACAAGAGAGACACACCAACGAACTGACCATCGCACAAACAGACAGCCAGAGAAGGAGTGAGTGTCTGCCCGTCTCAGTGAGTGGCTGCGTGTGAGTGACCCGAGTGCGGGCAAACGACTGCATGTGTGTGTCGGTGTGACGCGTGTGCGCATGAATCCATGACTGTGACCTGGCTTGCATGTCATCCAATGACATGGCCGTCAATTGACATCCACGCACCTGTCCGCACGCACGCAAGTTAAGGCCGACCACCGAACTCGAAATACTAAAATACCCGCATAGATGGACGGCTCATGCATGCAGTCCTATGCATGTGTGTCCGGATGTGTGCCTTAGTATTGACATCCATACACCTTTCACACGAACGCCTTTCACCGACTTCAGTCAATTGAGAGACCGAAGACGGAACTCAAAATATATAGCTAGAGGGGTCCTTCAAAATGTCTGTCTCAGCACTGTATAAAGCACCCGGCCGCACGCAATCATTAAAAGGGACGGGAAGCACATCCATCCAGTGACCCCTGCAGCGCCCACAGATCGCCCACCTGTTTTCTCGGCCGTCACTGTCACTAGGCCATGTCCCGCCACAGCGTCGATGTGGAAACCACCCAACAGGCCGCCGCCAGCCAATCGGCTGGCGACCTCCTGCAGCAACGCTGCGCATAAGCCGTCCGTTAGCGCACTGGGGACGTCCCGCAGTGTCCAAGTGACACATCTGAGGCCCTGCAGCTTGATCAGCGACTCGACACTCCTGACGATTGTGCCAGGGAGATCCACGGCAGCAGCATTCGGCACTGCGCAAAAGTAAGTCCCGACACAACCAGCACGCTGGATACAGCTGCTTCATATCGTGGTCTGTCTATCCCGCAGTACTGAAGCTGTTTCCCTTACCAAAAACGCGCACATCCAGCTGACTGATCTTCGGCAGCAGGTCCCTCTCCCTCTCCTCGCCCCACTGCAGGCCGCCGTCTCCCAGCCCAACCATACCCACCTCCACTCGCGACAAACTCCTCTCGGTGCCCGTCGCTTTTAGCAGCCCCCTCAGCATCTCCTCTTCAGCAGGCGTCGACACTCCCTCCACGCACAAAATGTCCATCTGCGGCATTGCCTTGGCCAAGTGGACCGCAGCCACACACCCCTTGCCGCCGAAAACACTCAGCTGACGGGCGAGGGGGCAGGAATCAGGCGACAGATGGCGGAGGAGGGCGGGGTCGGGGCTGGGCGTGTTGGGAGGGAGCGCTGTACACCGCACTGACACGGCGTGCGCCCTGCTGAATGTGAGGCTGCTGACAAGGGCCTTCTCGTCCTCGGTGGGCGTGTCGAGAGCGGGCAGCTGGGCTGCGTCGATGTCCCATTGGACGCTCGCGGCCCTACTGGCGAAATTCTTGACGGTTTCAGTGAGGAATGGGGAGGGGAAAAAAGGCAGGGCGAGCGGAAGCTGGAGGTGAAGGCCGGATCCACCGTCCGCAATGTTGATGGGAATGTTGGCTGTGCTGCCAGCTGATCGGCGGAGTCGCTCAAGGGCCGAGAGTTGGGGGAACAGGCGCGACGAGAGGACCGTGTGGCCTTGGAGGTGGGCGTTGATCACCGAGAGTGACTTACAGCCGTGAGCAACCAATATGTCCTGAGAGACGAAAGGACCAACCAATCGACAAACACTAAGCCTCCATGCGGTTCTCTGCATACAGCCAGTCGATTGATATGTGCTGCGTCGTCTCCTCTCAGCACGAGTGTGCCAACCGACCGTAGCTGTGCCAAGCGCCCTCTCTGGCCATCACATGGCCGTGGCACGCCCGACAGCGCCCCGGCGACCTCACGGGGGCCTGCACGCAAAGCCAGCTCCTTCAGAGAGGCGGCTGTCTTGAGGAATGACAAGGGGGCGGTCGCGTCCGGGCGAACGAACTCCTTGAACTGCAACCGCTGCAGCGACTGCATGATCCAACCGCGATCAGAGATGTGTTGCGCCAGGTCACAGTCGAGGCCTGTGACCTCCGTGATGGCAGGGAGGACGATGGGGGAAGGGGAGAGAGCGGAGGCTGGAACCGAATGGCTGGCAAAGAGTTGACGGAGTTCTTCCGTCGTTGCCTTCTAAGTCTCCTCGAATGTGAGGGACTGCAGGGTGCCGTGGTCGACGTGACCTTCACTCCCCGCGTCGCCCTCCTTCACCGCTGTGGTCGCTCTTGCCTGCTGCCGCTCCTTCTTCGCGAGTGCCGCACGGCCGTGTGAGTGCCCTTCCACCAGCTATCTCCAAGTCGTCCGACGCCAGCGGGAGAAGCCACGCGGGAAGCGCACCAGGAGTTCCTTGAGGTTCACTGCCCTCTCGCCCCACTGGCGAGCCGCACTATCCGGCATCTTCTCCCACAGTGACCGCGTGGCCTGGTCGTCCCAGTTGATGCTGAGGTGGGTGTAGTGGGCCGGCGAGTGGGCCATGATGTCTTTGCTGAGGCGCTGCTGACCGAGCTCCCAGGGCGGCGAATAGCTGAAGATGTGGCGAAGCTCCTCGGCTGCCATGAGATGCTCAGGCTGACACACACACACACACACACACACCGGCAGCAGTGGATCGATCCAGGCAGAGCGCTCGTCTGCTGGTGTGAGTGTGGCCTACCGGTGGTTGACGGATGGCTGGCTTGTTGCCTCTCTTGACCAGATAGAACGAGGTGCCGTCTGTGTGTCAGCATCTATTTGGTGTGCCTCTTACTCTCTGTTGCGATGTGCGCATGATGTCCATGGCCCCCACCAGGCGGCCCCTGGCTGCCGTCAGGGCCGCAGAGAGCTCATCGTGAAGCACAAGCGACGATGGCTATGAGGTCTACAGGGGAATGGCAGGTGAAGGCCACTCAGGTGTCAGTGCTGCTCTGGGTACCTGTTCTACGAGCTGTCGAGGGCCCGTCTGCTGCCTCGTTGAGATCTGCAGCAGCGAAGAAAGGCGTCATAAACAAACTGAATGTGCCAGATCCTGCTGCCTGTCGCTGTGCCTTGTGTGTGCCATGCCTGTGCTTGTAGGTCCCGGACGAGCTGCTCAATGCCTTGTGCAGCAGCCGAACGCCTCGCGGCACTGCCCTTGGCCTCCATCTCACCGACAGAGGGGAAAGAGCAATCGCTCTCCCATGCCCCAGACGGCCCCCAGTCTCACTTGAAGACGTTCAAACTTCCCAAGGCTGATTGTGCATGCATCTTGATACGGACTGATTCTTAGTTCATGTGCCTACCAGAGAACCATCGACATCTAAGGTCTCGAACCCGGCATGCCGCTCACTCTTTTGAGATGCACATCGGCCATTGCAGCAGAGGTTCGAGACGAAAAAGTCAGCCATTGATGCACTCTTCCTGCTCATGCAACCATGCAAAAGGCTCACTCTGTCCATTGGCGCAGGCAGGTAGCAAAAATCAGGCAAGTTCAGGCAGACAGCACCCACCCCACAATGACCCACGCACGTCACACGGCCGTCATCCCTCCTGGGCCTTTGCAGCCGCACCCTCCGCCCTGACATCACGCCCCTCTCCGGCATCTTGTTGACCTTGTTGCTGTGAGGTGCCCTCCTCATCTCCCTCTTGCTCGTCCTCATTCTCGCCGCCTTCCTGCAGTGTCACACACACAGCACACAGGCATGAGCAGCGCCCCCATGCTGACTGTTCTTTCCTCCCTCGCTGCTGCTGACCTCGATGCTGGGCAGCGAGATGCCCGCAGACTTCAACACCTCAACGAATTTCGGTGGCGGTGGCGTGTCCTTTCTCGGGCGCTTCCTCTTGCCCGCCTCCTCGGCAGGCTTCTTCAAGCCGGCAAACGCGCTCCTGGCTGCATCTGCCGCTGACTGCTCTCGCTTCAGGCCGACCGGACCGTCGCGCGCGTCAGCGGCGGATGAGTCTGATGGCTGTGCGGCCTCCGGGGGGAGGGTCGGGGGAGGGTGGTCTGACGTGCCGTCTGTGGGCTTGCTGGCCTCTGACTGGACGGCTTCGGCATGTGTGCGCTTGCGGCCGCCGTGGGGAGGGACGCCATTATCACTGAAGGCACTCAACACAGCGACCAATTATGAATGCCCCTCAGGATGATCTCTGTGGTGTTTGCCCACCTGCTGTCGGTGTGAGGGGCGTGCTGGTCAGATTCACCGTTTGGTAGCCCTCCCTTGGCCCCTCCCCTGACCGCATCCGCCCTCTTCGGACTGCTGCTCTCTGCTGCTGCAGATGAGTTGTGCTGGGCTTCACGATTCGGCTTCCCGCCGCTTTGTTGATCGAGTGATGACGACTCCTCAGACATGATGCAGCTTTTTCGGTCGGTCGGTCATGGGTTTGACGAGACACCTGTCGCTTTTGGGGGGAAGAGTGCGAGCTCGAACATTTGCGAGCTTATGAAGAATGGTAAGATTGTCGCGAAGATTGTCCGTTGGTGTCCATGCGCTGGGACAGTTGAAGATCTGAAGACCATCATGACGCGCGGCACGCCACTCATCTTGCTGCTGGCCATGCAGCTCATCGCATCAGCCTTTCATTCATGCGTCGGCTTCCAGATCCCTTCGTTTCTCCGTGGCCCATTCGGCAAGAAGGGCAGCGACTACGTCGGCGGCCGCAGGAGATGGGTGCCGAAAGCCGCGCTCTCATCGGTGGAAGTGCTTGATGACCAGGCTCTCAAAAGGGTACTGCTGAAGCATCCCAGTGGCTCTGAGGCAACCGTCTACCCATTTGGTGCGACGCTGACGAGCTTCAGGACGTTTGATGGCGAGGAGGTTATCGCCGTCAGGAAGGATGCAAAGATGGATGGCTCAAAGGCCATCTCAGGTGACCACGGCCATCCATCACCAGAGAAGCGGGGGGCGAGATGCTGGTGTGCTGTGCTCACCTGTTTGTTTCTGTGCAGGTGGCATTCCTCATTGCTTTCCCCAGTTCGGCCCCGGCGAGCTGCCGCAGCACGGCTTTGCACGCAACATGGAGTGGCGCATCAAGGAGCTGTCTGACGAGTTCACTCGCAATGCGTACGTGACGCTGGAGCTGACAGACAACGACGAGACCCGCAAGATCTGGGACAAGTCGTTCTCTCTCGAGTACACTGTCACGCTGCGTGACGTGGCTCTGTCGACCGACCTGCGTGTGAGGAACCTCGACCACACGGCCCACATGGAGTTCACTGCTGCGCTTCACTCGTACTGGAACGTGTCTTCGCTGGCGAATGTGGAGGTGGTGGGTGCGTTCAAGGGGGCGCGTGTGATCGACCGTCAGCAGAGTCCCCATGTGGAGGGGACGGAGGACGAGTACGTGCTGCGGATCACCGAGCCCACCGACAAGATGTACTGCAACCTGCCCGGCGAGGTGGTCATCAAGGACACCGGATACAACAGGTAAGGTACACACACACACACATCGCACAGCACGCGCTGCACGCCAATCGAGGAATGAGAGAAAAGATGCGTAACGCACGTGTGTGTGTGTGTGTGTGTGCAGGATGCTGAGCGTCAAGAGTCCCACGGGCTTTGAGGATGTCGTCTTGTGGTCGCCGTACGGCGACGAGAGCATGGGGTTTGACGACTTTCTGTGTGTCGAGAACGCCGCCGCCTCGTCCAAAGTCACCGTGCCGCCACTAGACGAGTGGCGGGCATCCATGCGCGTCGACGTCAGGACATTGCCCAGAGCCAGATCATGATTATGACGGATGATGAGCAGGTGTGATGCGCGCCGACCAGTGAGGAGGCCTGTCGCCAGAGACAGGGAGGAGATGGAACACGGGACCAGAGAGGCATTGTTCTGTCAATCGAGTACCTGTCTGTCTGTCTGTCTATGTGCACTTCTGAGGAGCGAAGATTTTGGCTGCATTCATTCATTCATTCTTGGCTAGCTTTGCGTGTCGACGGATGGATGGATGGATGGATGGATGGACGGATGGACGGATGGACAGCGATGCGACTTTGGGTGTCTGTGCTGTGTGCATCATGAGATGATCTGTGTGCGTGTGCATATCTGTGGGAAGGGTGTGCTAAGTGGTACATCAAGTGCGTGAGCTTCTTGTGGCGTTAAGCCAGATGCAGACAGACCCGTGTGGCCTGTGGCTGTCTCTCTAAGTGCTATCTATACCTATCGTGTCTCACACGACTTCATTATTAGCCGGGCATGGCTGCAGCGACAGCATGTGCACCTGCCTGCGGCTCTCAGGAAAGCCTCGGCGGCAGAGCCACATAGTCGCTGTGAGCCGACTCGCCCCACATGAGCCGATGCGTCGTGCAATGCATCTCCATTCATGGCCGTGGGTGATGTGGCGATGAATCAATCAGTCGATCGCTGGCTGCTACATACATTTTTTATGTATTCGCTCGGCTGTGTCTCGTCTCGTCCACATATCAGCGCAAGGATTCCGAAGAATGATGGGCAACAGCAAGGAGGTCTCTGTCTCTCTGCTTGTTGGGCTGTTCGTTCGTTCGTTCGGATGCATGCCATGCCGCAATGAATGGATTTGACGCACACGTCATGGAGCCATTGTATGTCCAAACATCTGTGTCTGTCACGTCCACATTAACATGGACGGACACAAATTAGCCTACCCCGCTCCGCTCCACTCCACCCACCCTGGGTACCCACCTCGCCTCCCTCTACTGCCCCACTCAAACCGCCCCCCGTCGACAGACAGACAGCCACACCTGTTCTATCTAATTGTCGGGTGCCGTCATGTCTGCGTCGCCATCCCCCTCCACACCGACACCACCACCACCACCCGCAGCACCCGCAGCACCTGCCCCGGCCGGCGACTGCTGCGGCTGGGTGGCAGAGGCAGGTTCCGTTGCAGGGAGGGTCTGGGTTTGCTGCTGCTGCTGCTGCTGCTGTTCGTTGCTGGCATCGGGCATTTCCTGATCCTCGTCTTGGGTGTCTGACCACAAATGGGGTTCATTCATTCGACACATGCAGGAGACACACACCACACCACACCCATGTGTGTCCGTCTGTCTTGTCTGTATGGGTGTATGGTGTAGTGTGGTGTGGTGTAGTGTGGTGTCTGTGTAGCTGGCTGGCGTATATACGTGAGCGTCTGCCCCTGTCGTGTTCCTCGTCTGGGAAGGGGATGTCGTGCGGGTTGTAGTGGGGGTGCCGCAACACACACAGCTCACCTTGCTCCTGAGTGAACCATGCATGTACCGTGTAAAAACGGGTGTCCGTCACTCTGTCACTCCGTCACTCCGTCCGTCTGTCTGTGTGTCTGTCTGTCTGTCTGTGTCTTTCCTCACCTCTTGCGTCGTGAGGACCTCCTTCTGGACGAGCCTCTTGATGATCATTGTCAGCTTGCGCTGTTCGTCGCGCAGCTCGTTCTCATTCTACACACACACACGCGCGCACACACACATGGATGGATGGATGGATAGACACACAAAGAGCCACGTACGTCTCCCTCCCTCCCTCCCTCCCTCCCTTATTCTCTCACTCACGTCAGCGATGTTGGGTCTCTCGCGAACGATGTACTCGTCCAGGTACCTGACGCATACACACAACACATCAAGACACACATACAGACAGACAGAAGGAGCCCAGCGAAAGAGAGAGTGGCCGAGCGCACCATACACACATACCAGTCTATGAGTTGTTGCCTCGTGACGTATCTGTCGTGCTGCTCCTCTTCGTCGCACAAGATGGCCATCCGCTGACCGATCACGTTAAAGTCTTTCGTCCCTATCTTGTACTGCATCCATCCATCCATCGCATTCAATGCACCACACCAACGACAGCACACAGTGAGGTCAGTTGTCTGTCTGCCGTGGTTGGTGTGGTGACTGACTGACTGACTGACCGTGCGCTTGGGTGCGGGTGGTGGGCGGGCCGCAGCACCACCAGCTCCCCCGCCCCTGCCCCCACCCTCGCCGCCCTCGCCACCCTCGCCGCCATCCCCACCATCCCCACCACCGTCACCGGCAAACTGATCAGCTGCACGAAGGAATGAAGGAATGGCAGACAGAGGAGGGGGCAAAGGACGGTGCTCCATATCCTATGGATGGATGGATGCGTGGATGGATGTGCTGACTGACGTGCTTCCTCCTCCTCTTCATCTTCCTCGTCAAACTCGCCCAAGTCGATGTCCGCCTGCTCAACGCGAACCAACGAATCCCTGACGGGCCAGCCGGCCAGCGAAGGCAGACACGAGGGCGTGTATGTGTGTGTCGGAGCGGGTGTGTGGGTGTGGGAGTGTCCGTAGTGTGGGTGTGGGAGTGTCCGTATCCCCGTCATTACCTGATCATTCTGTATGCCTTGGTGACGTGCTGCGTCAACACCCAGTCCGACAGATGAATGCGGGCCACCGCCTCTGACCAGCCAAACCACATCAGCCAGCCAGGAAGGAAAGAGAGGGAGAGAGAGAGAGAGAGAGAGAGGGGTGCATAGGGCCGGGCCGCATAGACACCACCCACCCCACCCCCTCAATCACCCACCTGAGCAGCGCACGAGTGACTCCAGCTGCCGGGGCGTGACGGCGATGCCCGAGCTACCGCTAGCCTGACAGCCAACCAATCAACCATCCACGGAAGGGAACCCTCCATCCATGCATCCATCCATCCATTGATTGATTTTGTGCCGACCTGTCCCTGTCTGAGTTCCATGTAGTATTTCTTGAGCAGCGTCTGGGCCCTCTCGCTCAGCACCGGCTGCTTGCTACGCGAATACCTACACACCACACCACACCACAGCACACAGACGACCAGCGGATAGGATAGCGGCGGATGTGTGTGGGTGGTGAGTGGGGGAAGGTGGGGGTGTGCGTGTGGTGGGTACCTACCTGATGTACTTCCTGATGAAGTCTGTGCTGAACTCGGCCCCGTGGTTGCCGCCGTCCTCGCCCTCCTCCTCTCGCTCGTCAGCCATGCGATTCTTCACCTATGACGCACCCACCCACCCACCCACACACCCACACACAGAGAGAGAGAAAGAGAGTGGTGACACCCCACCACGTGTGTGTGTGTGTCTGTGGGTGTGGTCTATGCTGTAGTTACTATGTGTGCGGCGATGTTGCGGTCGATCTCCTCGTCGCAGAGGTCCTGGATGACGTAGAAGAGGTCAAACCTTGACATGATGGGCGCAGTCATGTTGACGTTCCGACGCAGCGGCTTCTGGATGTCGTAACGACCCAGCAGTGGATTGGCAGCAGCCAGGATCGATGTGCGCGCGTTCAGCGTGGCCTATAGTATACAACCACACCCACACCCACACACACAGAGAGAGAAACAGACAGACATGTGCGGTGTGTCGGTGGCGGGAGGGAGGGACGGAGGGAGAGGCTACCCTACCCTACTTGTATGCCCGCTTTTGAGAGTGTGATGGTCTGCTGCTCCATCGCCTCGTGGATGGCCACCTGGTCCTTGGGGTCCATCTTGTCAAACTCGTCGATGCAACACACGCCTGAATGCATTATATTGCATTGACCAAACCAATACACACGCAGAGGTGCGTGTGTATGTGTGTGTGTCGACAGGCCGTCAGCTACCGTTGTCGGCCATCATGAGGGCGCCCGGCTCGATCACCGTGTCCCCGGCATCGTTGTCACTGTGCGTATCACACACACACACACACAGACGCGCACACAGATGGATGGATGGATGGATGGCGATTGCCAGCTGTCAACCCCCCGCCCCACCGATGGACAGAAGCCGTAAGCCCTGCAGCAGTGGACGCCTTGCCTGAAAAGGACAGCCAGGCCAAGCCAGAGGAGGGATGATTAGGGTTGACAGGGTCCCTAGACATGTGGGTGTGGCGTTTGTCCCCTCCCCCCTCCCCCTCCCCCTCCCCCTCTCCCTCTCCCTCTCCTCCTACCAGATGAGTACACGGCCCGCGTGTGCTCAGCGGCGACCCACTTGAGGAACTGGCTCTTGGCCGTGGAGGGGTCGCCCACCAAACACACGTTGATGTCGCCACTGAAGGGGTGAATGAATGAATGAATGGACACAAACGCACACGCACACGCACCCGAGCCAATGAATAAGAATGAATGGTGAGGAGAAGGGGAGAGTGAGGGTGCGGTGGGGTGCGGGGTGCGGGGTGTGGGGTGTGGCGTTGCGTGGCTGCCTGGCTGACCGTAGTTTCATGCCGCTTTTGGTGCATTTCTCGATCCCGCCCACCAGCATGACCAGGATGCCCTTCTTGACGTGGGGGTGCCCGTACACCTGATTAATTACACACACACGGACGGATGGATGGATGGATGCATGGATGGATGGAGGCAACGGGATCGACACACGTGCACACACATGCACACCCACACACCACATCCACACATCTCACATATATGTGTGCGTACCGCCGGTGCGATGGACTTGGCGATGCGGTCGAAGCAGTCCTTATCTCGCCCCACCTCCCTGATCTTCTCCTGCATCTCCACCGACACACCCTCCAAAGGATCCTACACACACACATACCCCCCCACACACCCCCAGAACCATAGCCCCACACACACACCACACCCATTCTCGCATCAACCAGTGTGTGAGCGGTGTATGTGGGTGGGTGACTGACATACGCACCTCCTGGTCCCTCCTGTCTGCCAGGGCGCCCCTGCCGGCGTTGAGTCGTGCGTACAGCTCGTTGACGTCAGCACTGGTCTGCCCACTGGCGTCCACCGTCCGCTCGTCATTGCAGACCAGCGACGCCATGAAGCCCAGGTCGTACTTCAGATCGCGCACACCTGAAGATGCACCCACGACACACAGAGAGAGGGGCGTTTTGGTGGGCGGGGGGTGGAGGGATGGTTTGGTACCTACCGATTTCTTTGAGTCCGTGGATGGCGTCTGCTGCGGAGCCGGTCTCGGTGGTGGCGCGCCGGTTCAGCTCTCGGCTGGCGGCCTGATGGGGTGGATGGATGGATGGATGGAGAATGCTGGCGACCTCTCTCTCTCTCTCTCTCTCTCGTTAGTGTGTGTGTGTGTGTGTGTGTGTACCCTTGGCACTTCTGTCTGTTTCATGAGCACAGCCACGTCGGGCAGCACGATGAAGGTGCCGGTGATGAGGCACCGGTCGCCTGGCCTGACGATGCCCGTCATGTCCCCCCTGCAGCGCAGCGAGCACATGTACACACAGCAATGAGTTCATGTGTATGCATGCGTGTGTGACAGACCTGAGGAAGACGTCGATGCCTCTGGGCATCGAGCCGCGGGGCACCTCTGTGGCATCCTCCTGAACCCTGCACACAAACACCACACCCATCCATGAGATACAAACACAGTGTGCACAGACAGACAGGGCATGGCGTGGCGTCGCCCGTCCCATCCCATCCCATCCACCGACTTACATACCGGACTTTCTGCCAGTCGACGCAGAGGCTGCCCCTGGGATTGAGGGTGAAGCGCACGCGATTGCCACAGTTGACATTCTCACACACAAGCGGCTGATACACACACACACATGCCCACACACACACACACACACGCACTCTCCTCCCTGGTCTGGTCGTGTGAATGTCGGTGGGTTGGGTCTGACTGACCTTAGTGAATCTGTACTGCTGGTGGACCATGCCGGCGTCGGCGTTGCAGTCGTCGCAGGTGAAGGACCCCTCCACCACCTCGGTCTTGATGTCCGACACACGTGTGCACGTCCCGCTCACCATCAGCAGCTGCCCCAACATGCTCATCCGGATCTGACGCACACTGCAGACCAGGCCGCCACACACACACAGACAGAGGGAGGGGAGAGGGAGAGGGAGAGTAAGAGGGGGATGGATGGTCTATGTGTGTGTTGTGTGGACGGTGGTCCATACGTTTGTGGTTTGGCGAAGTTGAGGATGGCTGCGTTGATGGCCCGGGTGGTGATGCTGCCGTGCCTGCCTCTCTCGTCGGGATTCTCATGCTCCTTCAGATACTCCATCGCTGCCGCATTGATGTGACCCGACACGCTGCAAGGGGACAAACCACACACCCACACCCTCACACACCCACTCAAGCCATCCATCCACCCGTCACCTCACCCCGTCCGGCCCACCTGTCGTATTTGCGTCGTTTCAACACGGCCACGATGATCTCATGGTCGTCCTGCAGGTCCTCCCAGTTGCCCACCTCCGTGCTGATGTGCTCCCACTTGACCAGCAGCGTCGTGTGGGCCTGCTCCCCAACCAGCCGCCGTGCGATGGCCTCGTAGTACCGCACCGGCGCGTTCTCGGCGTCGGCGTCGGTGGTGAGGCTGAAGTTGGTGAAGTGGCTCTTCCAGGCGCTGCGGAAGCGGTCCACAATCTGGGTGGGCAGGTCGTCCGTGGCGGGGATGGCGCGGAGGTTGCCGTCGAGCTCCTCCCCAGCCATGGCCATGGCTGCCTGGGAGGGCAAGAGATCTAGGCTAAGCTATGAAACATCACCAGCCAAAACAATCAGGGACCGACGTCGCGAGAACCGGTATAATAATGGCGGCCCGGATTTTTGGGCGATCCTGGCCTGGGAGTTGTCAGTGTGAGGGGTGGGTGTTCTCCCCTGCCGCGTCAGTGAGCAAAGCTACTTGTAGATCCATCCGTGCAAAGTCAACTCGCGTGGGAAAGTCACACAAACACATGCATTAACAGTGCAGATATATGCCGCTCCGCTCTCATTTTATACAGACAGACACCACACACACGGCACCACACCGCACCCACCGCCCGTCCATCCATCCGTCCCTCCCTCCCTCCCTTTACAAACAACAGTCAGCCGTACGTGCCCTTTCTATACATTCACTCACCCACGTGAGTCTGCAGTAGTTACATGTGGATTGTCCATCCATCCATCCATCGCTAGTGTTGTGTGTGCGATAGAATAGATACCAAACCGCTGTCACTAATATAGCTAAGCCCGCCCACACCTCAATCAATCACAGTATGGTGCAGCATTTGTTCTGTTTGGGTGGTGGGGGTGCGGGCGTCTGCACGGGGTAGGGGGCCGGTGCGGCGGCCGGTCCGGTCGTGGTCGTCACTGCTATCACCTGCGGGGGAGGGACACCCAGCTGATTCACACACACACACACAGAGAGAGAGAGAGAGAGAGAGAGAGACTTACAACACACATTCAGGAAGGGATGGGGAGAGAGTGGTCGGGCTGCTGGCTGACCATGCTTTGCTGGTGCTCCAGGAGCGTGTTGGTCGCCACGCTATTCAGCCGCTGCATGTCGGGCACCGAGTCCTTGTACAACCGACCTGTGGACCAAACCACACACACGAACGCACCGATGCGTCCTCTCACGCACCATTGTCTCATCCCATACCGTTCGAAGGCACCCCGAGAGCACCGAATCCCCAGCGGCCTGATGGGTCCCTCTGCAGCCTGGCGATGATGAGCCCACTGGACGGCCCGGCCTCCCTGAGTTGGTAGCGACACCACTCCTCGCCAGTCGACCCGTCACACACGCGACAGTAGGGGTTGGCCACTTGCTGTGGGTGGGTGGGTGGGTGGGGCGGGAAGGGGGGAGGGAAACACACACAGGGATGGTGTGTGGGTGTGGGGGAGGATGGTGATACACACTGGTGAGTGGTGTGTGTGTGGGCCCCCTGTGGTACCTACCTACCATGAAGGTCTTGTTGGGTGTGTAGATGTGGATGCAGAAGTACAGGCACTTGATCTGAGTAGTAGACGTGAGGGAGGTGGGAGTGAGACAGACACGAAGGAAGGAAGGAAGGAAGACAGCGAGCAGGAAGGACAACACACACCGGTTATCCATCCGTCCATCGATCCCACCCGGCCTTCTTCTCTCGCTTAGCTTGCTTATTACCCTCTCTCCGATCTGCGATAGGTGGACGGTGACCTGCTCGTCGTCGCCCTCCCCCTCTCCCGTTAAGTTGTCACCGCTGTGCTGCACGCCATGCTCCTTACTCTTCAGGTTCCTGCACACACACAAAGAACAAGAGGGCCAACACCAAGAATTCTCCCGCGCCTTCTGTGTGTGTGTGTGTGTGTGTTTGTGTGTGTCGGTGCTCTTGACTGACCCAAAGAAGACCGCTTCGACGAAGTTGTTGTTTTGGTCGAGCAGGCAGCATGATGCATCAAGGTCGACCTGGCCCATTGACACGTCCCTGCACCGCACCAGCAAGCGCAGCGCATGGGTGAGCGAATGCACGTAGGTACGCATGGGGTGTAGGGTAGGGTGTATGTGATCGATCATATCAGTCGGCTGTCTGTCTTGTTTTGCGATGCGCACCATCCCAGGCCACACACGATGAGGTCTTGCTGAGAGCCGAAGTCGAAAATGCCACCTGAACGAACGACAGACCGAATGAGCACCACCACCACCACCACCCCACACACACGGCCGCACCTCACCTTTCCTCATGCTGAAGGCCAGCTTCTGCCTGGTCGGTGCGGACGGGATGAAGGACCGTATGTGGGTCTGGATGGACTCCAGGCAGTCCATAAAATGCCTCTGCCCGTCAGCAAGCGCCTGATTGATGTGATGATTGATATTTATCACAAGGACACCCACCCGACAGACACAACAGCCAAGCGGCATGCTCTTGCGCATGTGCTTCCTTCCTTCGCGAATGCTCACATGGTCGATGGTGCGGACGCTCCAGGAGCCGCCGTGGCGGAACATGGCACACAGAATGTTGGCCGTCGCCTGGCCCTTCTCGCGAAGCACAAACTGCAACCACATGACATGGACAAAGAGGCAGGCATCCACACGCGCCAAAACACCCACAGCCAGCCAGACACACCTGTGCAAGGGTGCATTTGGACTCATCGTCCGCGACACGCAAGATGCCCTCGACGAGGTTGCCAAGGCTTCCGCCGCTGTAGCAGCACACGAGGATGATGATCAGCTCGATCTCCTGACCCAAACGAGACACATTCACCGCCACCTGCACAATCAACAACAAGCAGGACGACAGCAACTAACCTCAACGCAACGCGCAGCATTTTTTCACACGTCGACGTGAAACGGTAACACTACCTTCTCGTCAACGCCTTCCTCCTTGCCGTCGAGCGAATCGCCGCTGTGCGTGAGCGCCTTGCCGAGCGCCTTCAAGCTGTGTCAGACAGACAGACAGACAGACAGAGTCACATCCATCCATCTCAGGCAGCCAGCGTACTTACTTGTTGTAGTAACACGCATCTGTGATGCACGGATGGCATGGCGCCACACAGACAGACGGACAGACAGACAGAACCGTTCAATCAATGCCATCAGTCCATCGCATGGTGTCACGTCAGCTGTGTGCGCACCTGTGATCCTTCCCCTGTTATCGACGGCCAGGGCCTGCACGTCTGCATCAACCGCCGAGCCGCCAAAGTCCCAGGACAAGCTTTGAAACAAGCAACAAACGCCCCGAGTCCGTCCATCCACTGATATCATAATTGATACCTCATTCCCACTTCCCTTCTCACCAGAATGCGACACGACCCACCCCTTGCAGCGGGAAGTCCGCTGTCTTCTGAAGCACGCTGCCCTTGTGGGTTTCATCGTCATACGCCGGAGGCCTCATTCTTGGCTTGCCGGAGGCCTTCTTAAGCCTCTGTTCCGACCGATCCTCTGCAGCTGTGGCGGTCGTTGGTTCTCCAGGGATCTGTGGGAGTCCTTTTGCTGTGGACGACGGGGAGATGCGAGCTTCACATTTGTTTCGCGTTATTTCGGCCTCTAACGCCGCCCTAAGGTTTTCTCGCGCCGTGAGGTTTCCGGCTGTCGGGTTCCCAATCTCTCACTCGCCGACACGCCCAAGACGAGATGACCCGCCACGTGTAGCAGCCACCGACCGGGATCTCTGGTGCGACGACAACGGCCTGTCAGTCCTTCCCACTCTCAGTCGTCCACCCGGTGACAGCGCGCGTGGCTCTTAAGACGCTGGTGCTGTGGCGGTTTGTCGACTTGCCGGCTTGGCGCTGAGGCGAGGCGAGGCGGCTCCCTCCCTCCCGTGTGTCTCTCTCTCATTTTTGGTGACTGACTGACCGGCTTGCCGCGACTGACCTGCTCTGCTCTGTCCACCCCATCTCGCTCTCTCGCCCTCGGACCTCCCCGCTGCGCTGCGCTGTGCTCGCCAACCACACCTTTCCCACCCACACCCGCCCCGCCTGCTGACCGCTGACCGACCGAGCGACCGACCGACAGTAGATGGAGCCCAACTTCCCCCCCTCTCCCCCCTCCGCATCGCCATCGTCCAACACAGGGCCCTCCCCCGTCCGCAAGCGCGTGACGGTGGGGAGTGAGGAGTTCGAGCTCGAGGCCAAGTATGAGGTGGTCGAGTTGCTGGGCTCGGGTGCTTATGGCAGCGTCTGTGCGGCGCGCGACACGGAGAGCGGCGAGATAGTGGCTGTCAAGAAGATCCTGCGGCCGTTCGAGCATTCCGTGTTTGCGCGGCGGACGCTGCGGGAGCTGAGGATACTGCGGCTGCTGCGGCACGAGAACATCCTGGAGCTCAAGGATGTGCCGCTCCCCGCCGACCCACACACATACAACGACATGTGAGTGAGGATGAAGGGGAGGGGGTTGTGGAGGGAGGGAGGGCAAAACAATGAGGAGGGAAGCGTGTGTGGGTGGAGGGAAGCGTGTGTGGGTGTGGGTGTGGGTGTGTGCAGCCACATTGTGACTGGGTTCATGGAGGCTGACCTGGCGTCGATCATCAAGTCGGGCCAGGCCCTCTCAGAGGAGCACATTCAGGTAGCTGGGGTGGGCCAATATGCCGCGGGGCACTCACTGCACACACCACAGCACACAACATCATTCTCTTTGTCTTGTGGCTCTCTCGTGTGTGTGTGTGTGTGTATGTGTGTCAGTTCTTCATCTACCAGATCCTCCGCGGAATCAAGTACTGCCATAGCGCCGGCGTCGTACATCGCGATTTGGTACGTATACCTACCTGTTGGCCATTCCATGCCAACACACACACCACCTCACACACGTGATGATAACCGCACTCCCGTCCCTCCCCTGCGTCCCTGTCTGGCTGTCTGTCTTTTGCAGAAGCCGCGCAACCTTCTGGTCAACACCAACTGCGACCTGAGGGTATGCGATTTCGGACTGGCGCGTTTCAAGGGGCTCGACGGCTGGGAGCAGCCGACGGACATGACCGAGTACGTCACCACTCGGTGGTACAGGGCGCCAGAGATACTCTGCACATTCAGGAACTATGACGAGAAAGGTGAGTGAGGTCGCACAGACAGACAGACAGACAGACAGACAGAGAGGGAGGGACAGAGAGAGGGGAGACAGACGTATGGTATGGATGTGCTTCTGTCTGTTTCACACCACATCACCCACCCTTGTGTGCAGTTGATGTGTGGTCCATCGGGTGCATCTTCGCTGAGCTGCTGCTGCGCAAGCCGCTCTTCCCGGGCAAGTCGACCAAGCACCAGCTGGAGCTCATCATGGACCTGTGCGGCACACCCACACCATCGCAGATCGACGCCATACCTAACGACAACGTACGCCACGCCAGCCCACACACATCCACCCCACCGCAATTGCTGCTTGTATGTGTGTGTCGGGTCGGTGACAGTGCCGTCGTTTCCTCCGTGCGTGTGGTCGTAAGATGCCCACGCAGCTGAGCGTCTTCCTGGAGCGCACCCTGCACGCGCAGCAGCAGCCGTCCAGCCCCACCTCCCAGGACCCCTCGCCATCCGCCCCCATGTGTCTGCCGGCGATTGCTCCATGCGGGCTGGATCTGCTGCGCCGCATGCTGGCCTTCGACCCGGCCGATCGCATCAGTGTGGAGGACGCCTTGGCCCACCCATGGCTGCAGACGCTGCACTGTCCGGATGACGAGGTGCGCGCGCTGGGGTGGTGGATGGGGTGGGTGGGATGGGTGGGGGAGAGAGAGAAGGGGGAGGGACATGACGTGTCTGACACGCAGAGATATATGCGAAATCTGCATCTGCTTCGTGTGTTGTGTTGTGTTGTGTTGTGGTTGTTGTGTGTGCAGCCGACGGCGCCCCCGCTGAACCTGCAGGAGTTCAGTTTTGAGCTCAACCCACGGGCTGACGTCGACTCGGTCTTCAGACGTACGCACTTCACACACGACACGAGAACAACACGAGACACACCAAAGCAAGTGACATACATGGGTTTTTGTCCCCTCTTGCCTCTCCCTCCTGTCAGCCGAGGTCTATCGCGAGGCCATGTACCACCACTCGCGCAAGCACGGCTCGGTCCCTCCCCCGCCCGTGACCTACCCCCCTCCCCCACCCCCACCCCCTCCAGCC